TGAAAGATTTGTGGAGGGTGGTGATTCTTTGAAGTTACCTCGAGTGGCTGCCCTGAGGGGGGAGCAATAACATGTTATTCTGACTCTTATAAAAGATCCATCACCAAAAAAAGAAGAAAGAAAGCAAGAAAGAAAGATGATGAGGTTGAAACTCTGAGTCATGTCTCGTGTCATTTTCAGGACTACAGTGCAGACATTACAGCCATCAGAAGCCAGTCATGAGAGTTACCATCACAAACCATATTAGGTAAAAGTAGTTAAAAAAGTAGGTAAAAAAAAAGTAGGTAAAAGCCCAATCTTATCTAATTTCACTTTTCTGTCATAGAAAGCTCAACAGATGGATCAGAATTAGTGAACGTGTGTATAACGATTTTATGTTTCGAAAAACGAGTTGCGTATGCCCTCTAGCCTCTGGTGATAAAAAAGACTACTGAAGAGGAAAACACTGGCCTGCGATCTAATCATTACTTTGCTTATCACACCCTCTACTGGACAAAAATCGTAATACAAGTCAAATCTGGCGTTTTAGGCTTACATCAAAGCAATGGTGTGGTTTAAATAGGCATAAACAGTACATTTTTCTCTACTTCACAATTTCCCACAAGGAATCTACAAAAGTCTCCTTCAATAAATCAGAAGACGAAAACAAGAGGAATCCAAATCTTTGTGTATGTAAACTCCCATTCGGAAGCACAGGCCCATGAAAAAGTTTATGAAACGGCTTGAACCAGATGTTGTAAGTTAACAAAGAAACGCCCTCAAGAGGTGCTTGAGCTTTATATAATCCTGACTACATGCACGCTGCCCTACTCTGTCATCCACGGTTTTTCGGACCACTGTAAAGACAGAGTCTTGTGAGGGTCTTCTCCCCTTAGAACCCTACCAGAATGGAATTAAGAGTGTTCGTTCTCTGCAACAGTCAATGAGCTCCAATACACAAAATGCTTAACAAGCATAGACAGATCTACAATCAAACATTCAGGCATTTTAGGCAGTTACCACAATCTCTTAAAATGTTTTACACTGAAATTCAATTGTGCCCTGGCCTGCTTACAAACCTAAATAAACCTGAGGTGCAAACTATATGTTGGCATATGGCACCATCTACTGGACTGCCTGAGAGTAAAATCTAGAGTCCAGGATCATCAAATCCAAATCTAGCTCCAGCACATATATTTAGTTCTATTAAAATGAAGTGGAATCTATAAAACAAAAGGTTATAGTTTTGAGCACTGTTCTACCATCAAGACCTAATGTCATGTATAAGCACGTGTAGGGGATACTGTGGCACTATCTAAACAGAAAAGTGTATTTTTCCATTGTGAAGTGATGAAGCGTGTATTAAAGAGGCTAGTTTACATAAGCTGTGCTTATTAGCCACTGTGCTCTTTCATAACAGACAGCTTACAAACATATCAGAAAGGTTGGAACCATAGCAGAAAGAAAACATGTTTTTCAATCAATTCTTTATGATGACCACCAAGATACTGCTACTTTCTGCCTCTGAAAAGCAAGAAAGGAAAAGACAGGTGGGGTAGAAGAGGGAAGAAGACAGAGAGAGGGAGGGAGGGAAAAAGGGAGTGAGAGAGAGAAGTGCATGTGAGAGGAAGGGAAGGAGGGAGGAGTGTAAGCTCAGGGTCACTGAGTTCGCCCATTCCAGTAGTGCTCATGAAATAACAACTGATCCTGTCTGTATTTTCTATCATTCCAACCGATGAAAAGATAATGTTCACTTCTGCTACTGACTCTATGGGATTTGCCATGTTTATTGGCAAGTTAACAGTGGGGTATGTTCACTGTGGGTTAATACTACCTATGGAAACTCTACCTTAAGCTAGATCTACACAACACGATTTTTAGCCCGATTCAATTCCGATTGCCCTGTCTAACAAATTTTCACAATTTGAAGCAATTATCTAGGTTGGAAGGCAATAGCCAGTGAAAGAACTACAAGAGAGAAAAAAAGACAAATCTATATGTATGCATGTCTATTTGCCTGAACAAAGGCATTAAAGAGCATGTTCACATGTTCATTTACTGTTTGTGTTTTCACTATGCTTCTTGTGTTGAGGTTTTAGCCTGGAAGACATGGTGTCCATGATTTCCAAAATAAATTTCGAATTCTGATTATTTGAACCAAAGGACACTTTTCCACTTTGCCTCAGTCCATCTTAAACAAGCCCAGGCGCAGAGAAGGTGGCTGTGTTTCTATATTCTGTTTATATATGGTTTCTTCTTTGCGTTTTAGAGTTTTAACTTGCATTTGTGGATGCAGTGATGAATTGTGTTTACAGACAGTGTTTTTCAGAAGTCCCTGCAGTGATTTCCACTACACAATCGGGTCAGTTTTTAATGCAGCGCCACCTGAGGGCTTGAAGATCACGGTCAGACAATGCAGTTTTTTCGGCCTTGGATTTTCTGAATCTTTTAATGATGTACTGTAGATGATGAAATCCCCACGTTCTTTACTATTTTACATTGAGAAACATCATTCTTGAATTGTTGCGCTATTTGCCTGTGCAGTCTTTCACAGAGTGGTGAACCCCTCCCCATCTTCTGAAAGACTCTCTGGGAACCTTTTTATACCCAATCATGTTACTGACCTGTTGTCAATCAACCTAATTAGTTGTGAGATGTTCCACTAGATGATTTTTTTTCATTATTCCACTTTATCACCAACAAATTTACAACTTTTTTCTTTCATTGCCCCTGTCCCAACTTTTCTGAAATGTGTTGCAGGCATCAAATTAAAAAATATGGGCATATATTTTTAAAAAAGCAATACAATTTCTCATCTTGAGCATTGATATGTTGCCTTTGCACAATTTTCATTTACACACATAAATGACATGCGTTCTGTTTTTTATTTACATTTTGCACAGTGTGCCAATTGTTTTAGAAAGTGGGTCATATAAACACTAGACTTATTAGACTTATCATCATCCATACATATAAATTTACTGGGAAAAGACTCTTTGTTTGCATGTGCCTAATTGAATGAGTACAAATGAGTAACTATGTCTGCTAAAGGGTCTTTGTGTGCGTGCATCTATGTCTGTATGTGTGTGTGCCTGTGTGGGCGTAAGGAGAGATTTGATTCCGTTTGGCTCCATGTCAAATCTATTTGGTGATCCCTATTCTAGAAGTTCCTTCCAAAAACAAAACCTGATTTGCAGAAAAGGGCTCCACACATCAATACATCCATCTGTTTATCCACCCATCCATCCATTCACATACCTTCTGTGTGAAACATTTTCTTTGACTAAATTGATACTAACATTTTATGTCTAGGCCAAATCTGCTATTTCTTGTTTACAAATTAATAAACTTCAAAATTAGCTATTTTTAAACTAGGACTTCAATGAAGATGTAGGCCATCATGCTTAAACTACTCAAACACTATACTGCACCACAGGAAGAAATACATAGCTAACAACATAACATCACACAATGTGAGTCTGTGGTATTGCAGGCTAGATTTGTTTTTTTCCCCCTTCAAATTATGCAATCCAGAATTTTCTGCTGATATTGGCCTGATACTGATATCCATCAATACAGATATGCCATCTCTAGTGAGTAGGCAGTGTATAGTGGACCTTATTCCATGAATATTTTCATTAATATTCATTATAAACATGTTACAACATAACACTAATATATATATATATATATATATATATATATATATATATATATATATATATATATATATATATATATATATATATATGTGTGTGTGTGTGTGTGTGTGTGTGTGTGTGTGTACAATTTTTTTTACATGAACGAATGGACGCATGTAAAGTTCAGTAAAGATTCATTGTTTTAAAGCAAAATCTGTGTTCCCAGTTAACTGTGATATAAATACTCAAATAAAATGCTGACTTACTTCCCCCTCTGATGGTTTTCGAGAAGCAAGATAGATTTAGCATCTGAACCGGCACCACAACTGAACTTACATCACAAGATCATACAGGATTGCGATGTTAGACCTAACTTTGAATTGTTGATCAACGTCAAGATAAAGTAGAGAACACCGTGTCCCCTTGTGTTGTTTCCAAAAACGAACAGTAGATGGCGCCATCGCTCCATCAGAAAAACACTCACGACGCTTCCGAAAAAGTCACTCAAAAAAGTTTTCGCATTACATCTAGGACAGGAAAGCAAGCTTTCCAGAGGAAGTCTCTGGTACATTCTTCGCCGAATGAATCCACAGGTTCTGCCAACTGCGATTGTGACGCAGACCGTCTGCGTTAAGAATAACCAGATGTTTGGAGAGAAGCTCCTATCTGTTGCAGTGTCAACACCTATATGTCAGCCCAGCAACTCAGCTGAGAAAGAGAGAAGGAGGGCAGCTTAAAGAAAACCGACGAAGAAAAGAAGGAAGAGAGAGGGAGGGAGAGAAATAGAGAGAACCGCAAGACGAGAGTGAGAGTGAATGAGTGAGTGAGCGAGCGAGAGAGGCAAAGATAGATGGGGGAGACAGAGTGAGAGAGAGAGGGAGAGGGAGGGAGGGAGGGAGGGAGGAGAGAGGGAGGGAGAGAGGGAAGTGCGTGTGCGAGGGAGGGAGGGAGCTAAGCTAGCTCGGGGTCAGTGAGTTCGTCCATTCCAATAGTGCTCGTGAAATGACAACTGATTCCCAACACTGTGTACCATACCAGCAAGCGTGCGCGCACACGCTCGCACACCAAGTTACCGAACAGCTCCCACACACAGACGCACGAACTACACCTCAAATCCTCATATAACCATGTGAAATATGCAACTCAGATATAGCCCACGTGTAGATCAGAGCACATTCAACAGTGTAGGGGTTTTCTGCACCCATAAACAGCACGTAAACAACAGGTACACGGTGGGTCCTTTAGCAATACTGCATGCACGCTGATCATCTCAGCAGCATGAAAACACCCGTTCCAGAGCCAGTTCAATAACAAACAGGATGAATTATCACTCAGACGAAACATTTTATGCGAAAAGTGCGAATCAGGGTGTTCACTCACCAGGTAAAGGAGGAAGGTGTGCAAGCCAGTGCCGAGTCCGACGGACGAGAGAATGCCCAAGCCCAGCCAGTAGGCGCACCACAGGCACTTCTTCTCCAGCAGCCGCACATACTGGAGAGACGGAGCAGCGCGTGAGAGCCGTGTGCAGGCACATACACGCACAGATGGGGAGAAGGAACGAGAGGAAGGCGTGGAGGGAGAGAGGTGAAACAGAAAGTGCGACATAACGAAGGGAGGGGAGGGAGTGGGACAGAGAGAGAGAGAGAGAGAGAGAGAGAGAGAGAGAGAGAGAGAGAGAGAGAGAGAGGGCACCTCTGTGCGAGTTGTTGTTGCTTGCTGTTGCTGAGTGCGGGGAGGACAGAGCTGGAGGGTGAGAGAGTTCAGAACACTGAGAGAGAATAAGAGTGTTATTCTAGTCCAGCTAGCCAAGTCTTACACAACACAGCGCGCGAGGACAGCCAGCCGAGCCCCTGCTGCAGCTCGCGCGCTCTCTCGCTCTCTCTTTCACGCACTGACTCACGCGCTCACAACCACGCTCACGCACTCATTCCTCTCGTTAGCTTCCTCTTTCTCTCCTGTTTTCACTTTATTTTCCTGCTCCATCTATCTGTGTGGCGTTTCCCGTCCGACGGGCCAGTGCCTATCGGTAAAAAAAAGCCCCCCTCTCAGCCCCCACTCTACCTCTCTCTCCCACATTTGTTCTCCCAGACATGTGAATCGAGAACTTTCTACACTCATCCCTCCCTACCAGCAGAGTACATCCTGTCTGTCTGGCATAACTGGCAAAGATGACATGGTTAGCTTTAAGTTTAGTGGTTTAGCTACCTCAGAAACTGGCGAACCACAACATCAGACATAAAGCCATTTGCTAATACAGAGCATGTTCAAATCTTCACACAAACAGCTGTAAACAACAACACTACCGTTTGAAGGTTTGGGACCACCTGCCTCAATAGTTAATTGTAATTCAATAATAATGTATGCAGTGTAGACTGAAATACTATAAGCTAAATACCAGAAGGTATTTTAAGATGTTGTATTGTAAGATGTTGTATGCGTTAGCGAATGTTAACATTAATGGTCATGAACTGCCACAGTGCAGACTTTGCATAACACTAATACAACGGCAATGAATTATCAACACTGTATAACACTAGCAAAATCATCCTCTATAACTGCATCTCAAATGAGATTTCTCTGACTTTGGCAGTGTCGACTGTGAAAAGAGCCACACAGATCAAACTAAAACAGGAACTGAAAAGACTACTATAACTCCCAGTAACTCTACAATGAGAGATGGTGTTGTGGCTTATGATGTACACTCTTGGCCCTCCATTTTCTGTGGACAGGCCTGATTTAAAAAAAAAAAATAGCACAAGCAAATTTCTAAGCTGGAGCAAAAACATCATCAACATCACCAGTATGTGCGTGAAATATTTGGTCATAAACCAGTCATACGTCATGCTACTGGAACTGCATGTGGTAACCATTTTAACACACGCCTTACTGAATTTGCCTTCTAGTGATTTCAGTCATGTTCTTCTGAAATTAGCTGAGGCTGCAGCCTTGACTATCCTGCCTGCTCCTAAGCTTGTGGAATGCGTGTATAACGTGTAAAGATCACCTTCTGATGTGCTCCTTCAATGGAGTAGGTGATGAAGAAGAGGAAGAGGAGTAGCAGAAAAGCGAAGACCGTTCCTCTCTGCTGCCACAGCCTGGGGGAGGAAGAGGAGCAGAACAGTGAGGAAGACTGCTGGGTGAAGTGTGAGAGGTTTAGCTCACAGCAACAGACAAATCAGTGGCCATCTGAGGAGACGGTCTAAGCTTTTGATCCATGTTAACAGCATTAAGGGCTTTCCCTGCTCCCTCTCTCTCTTATCTAGTGGGCTTCCTATTACACTACTATGCAGTGAAGAGCAGATGTGACAATGATAGGGCATAGCTAAAAGTCAATCCACCGCATAATGTATGGAGAAATTTCAGACAGAGAAGAACTGATCACTCTTAAGATAAAGAAAACCAGTTACACCTTTCCTAACTTTGTTTCCCACACTAAGCAAATACAAACAAACACATTCTGGGTAGCAACTACTGAGATTTAGCACATCCTATTTTCACATGAAAACATCACTGTTATTAAATACAATCCCACACCAGCTAGCTGAGCATCGCTTGACCTATTTTCCAGAGAGGCATTTGCGTCATTGGAGAGCAATATCGGGGAATAGGCCGGCAGTTTGCACTGTGGGCTGAGACAGCTACAGTTAGTCATTTAAGAAACATGGCCACGTCATTCTCGCAGCTCTGTGTGAGTCGTTCAATTACAATCTCCCACTTGCCCTGACTGCCAAAAGAGGGGGGTCTACCTTCTGATGAAAAATTTCTTTTTCATTCATGCAAAAGTGATGATATGACTAATAAGTTCATCAGGGCAGGACACTATCCATCCTCTTCTGCACAAGTATAGCTTCAAGATGTCACCAAGCTAAGGCCCTGTTCCAATTCAGTCGAGCAAACTCGCAAATGATCTAATGTGAGATTTCTAATCAGGGTCTGCAAGAATTTAGGATATCCAGTTTCTGTGTTCAGCAAGAGGGCTCTTTACTGCCCATCAACAAGGCCTTCATGCACCGCTCTATCAAGTCTGCATCAGAACAAACCTCTTAGAGGAGTGTTACCCAAAGCTCCTGCAAAGCTGTGATGTTTTAGTGTCTGACTGAAGTTGTTGCCATAGTTTTCCAGAAAGAGGAGAAAAAGAATACAAGGAAGATGGGAAATATTTTAAATAAAAAAGCTGGCATCCATTATAGCAGGTGTGCTCAATCCTGATCCTGGGGATCTACCACCCTGGAGAGTTCAGATCCAACACACCTGGCTGTAATATTCAGATGCTCTTGAAGGCTTTCATTATCTGGATCAGGTGTGTTATATTAGGGGTGGAGCTAAACCAGGAGACCAGGATTGGGAACCCCTGCCTTATAGTTTTATGTAATTATGTAAGTTTTGGTAGATTTGTAACTAGAGATGTTTGTAAATAGAGGTGTTTGATGGCTGTTTTTAAACATGGCACTACAGGTGCGTTGTGTTCGAGTGTCAAAATATCATGATATGAATCACGTATTGCGAATAATGTCTATAGATATCATGACATTATATTTTTGCTATATTGTCCACCCCTGCCATTAATAAAGTGTAGAAATTGGGACTACATTCATCTGGATTGGCATTACAGAGAACTACAATATTTACTTATGGAGCTTTACAAATGCAGCACAAATTTTAGCACAGTAGTCCAGCATCATCTAAGTATGATGTCTTCAGGAGTACAATAAAACATCATTAAATATTGTTTCAAATATTGGCTAAAAACCTGTCCAATGCTGATAATATTTTTAAGAAATTATCTGTAATAATAATAATATGATTCCAACGTCATCGTGCATCGTGCATTAGGCAACAGTTCATTAAAGTGGATTTGTTTTCATACAAGACAACTTTGTCTAATAGCAGAAAAAGGCCCAAAAAGAAGATTTTAGGATTTAGGGCAAGATCTGGAACAAGGCCTAATGGCTAACTCGGACAGAAGTTGCAAACTTGCAGATTTCTGAGGTTACCACAAGGATTTAAAGGTAGATTGTAAACTTTGGCAAGATCCAGGTTAGCCAAGGTTATGAGCTGTGACGTATTCTCTGATAATTCTTTGATCTAACGTGAACTCATCAGATCAAGCTAGCAAATAATGTGACAGTAGTCAAACTGCATAATTTCAAAGGCAACAACAATCAGCAGAGATTATAATTTAACTGCCACTTTGAGAAGGATGGTAAACATATATATATATATATTATATATATATATATATATATTATATATATATATATATATATATATATATATAACCCCATTTCCAAAAAAGTTGGAACACTGTGTATATAAAAATAGAATGCAATGATATGCAAATCATGTAAACCATATAAAAACCATTTAAAAACCATTTTTAAGGAAAATACTACAAAGAAAACATATAAAATGTTGAAACTGAGAAATTTTATTGTTTTTTGAAAAATATATGCCTATGTTTAATGTGATGCCGAAAAAAAGTTGGGATGGGGGCACGTTTATGTTTCATCACCTCTTCTTTTAACAACACTCTGTAAGCGTTTGGGAACTGGTCTGGACAGCAGGCAGGCCAATTTAGCGCCCAGACTCTTTTAATATGGAGCAATGCTTGTTGTAATACATGCAGAATGTGGTTTGGCATTGTCTTGCTGAAATAAGCAAGGCCTTCCTTGAAAAAGATGTCGTCTGGATGGCAGCATATACAAAACATGTATATATATCATTCAGCATTAATGGTGTTTTCACAGATGTGCACGTCACCCATGCCATGTGCACTAATGAACTCCTATACCGTCATGAGTACTGGCTTTAGAACTGTGCACTGATAACAAGCTGAGTGGTCTTTAGGCCAGAGGATGCAGTGTCCATGATTTTCAAAAAGAATTTCAAATTGTGATTCATCGGCGCACAGGACACTTTTCCACTTCCCCTCAGTCCATTTTAAATGAGTTCATGCCCAGAGAAGGTGGCAGCATTCCTGGATTCTGTTTATATATGGTTTCTTCTTTGCATTTTAATTAGAGTTTTAACTTCCATCTGTGGATGCAGCGACAAACTGTTTTCACAGACACTGGTTGTCAGAAGTGTTTCTGAGCCCATGCAGTGATTTCCTGTGGAGAATCATGTCTGTTTTTAATGCAGTGCCGCCTGAGGGCCCAAAGATCATGGCCAGCAAATACTAGTTTTTGGCCTTGTCCCTTACATACAGAGATTTCTCCAGATTCTCTGAATCTTGTAATGGTATTTTGTACTGTAGATGGTGAAAAGCAAAAGTTCTTTGCTATTTTATCTTGAAAAACGTTATTCTTGAATTGCAGTCTTGCCCGTGCAGTCTTTTACAGAGTGGCGAACCCCTCCTCATCTTTACTTCTGAAAGACTCAGCCTCTCTGAGATGCTCTTTTTTATACCCAATCATGTTATTGACTTGTTGCCAATCAACCACCAGGTGTTTTTTTTAGCATTACACAACTTTACTAGCCTTTTGTTGACCCTGTACCAACATTTTTGGAACGTGTTGTTGGCATCAAATGGGCAATTTTTTTTCAAAAAACAATAAAATTTCTCAGTTTCGACATTGGATATGTCAATATTGTATTATATTGTATTATTTTCAGTTAAATATAAGGTTTAAATGATTTGCACATCATTGCCTTTTGTTTTTATTTATATTTTGCACAGCGTCACAGCGTCACAGAAGTGTTTTGGAAATGGGGTTGTACTTGGCTTCCAATGTCTTTCAGAGAGCAAAATCTTGTTTTTTTGCACTTTTTTATTGGTCCATCCCAGCATTTGTGCATACTGTTCAAATTTGGCAGCTGCTAGTGAGCACTTGAATGCAAATATGCAAGTAAATAGTTACAATTTGATGATGTAACAGTTTTTGGAATATACGAGTTAAGAAGGCACATCCAAACACATAAATCTTTGATATCTGATTGTTTGTACTAAAGATGTTAGAACAAAGATGGGAAATGGTTGCACTGAAAGGTTTGAGGAAAATAATAACATTAATAATGCAATCGAGATTTAAATTTGATTTTTTTTCTCCAGGTCTTTTTTTTCCCTCAAGAAGACCAGCACATCCATTTTTTTGGGCTTGAGGCTTTAATGCTGAATGTGATCTGCCAGACTGCTGTTTACAAGCTTTGTGTTATTAGGTTAAATTTCTCCACTTGAAACTTGGTAAGACAACATTCAGTAACATATATTAGAATATAATTAAAACTGCAGCTCTTGTGATTTGAAAAGTGCAATTTTGATATAAAAACAATTATCTGCTCAGTCATGATGTATGGTAGTACACACTGTTATATACTACATACATACTATAACATACACTCCCACACAAAAAATAAAAGGAGCCAAACCAAAATATAATGTTTGTTACTGATGGCTTCAGACTGATCAGTGACTAGGTTAAAACCCTAACTCAGCCACTTTATCAGAAATGAAAGTAAATTAATCACGTCTTAGTTAAGCTGTACTGCGGTGCCAGCTTCCAGGCTTTCTTGCTGACTATAAAAAAGTTTATCCCCAGATAAAGCTGCAACATAGATTTAAGCATGAATTTGTATAATTATGAAGAGGTGACAAATTAAAGGAAAACCCTGAATAAATGAGTGTAGAAACACAACAAGTATAGATGCTTTCAGACAGGTGTACTTGCATGATAAAAATTACGCAATTAACATCATACCATTCTTTGTAGCATGTGTAAAAATGCTGGGCAGGCCCAGTTGACCTCAATTTTGAGAACAGGCATAAATGTGTGACTCCTACAGTGACTGGGTCAGGTGGCTTTGTTATGCTGTAGGGGCAGTTTGCTGGTATGGTTTGGATCTAACTGTCCCCTTAAAGAGTAGTTATTCTCACTAATGACCTCTATGATGAAACATTTCTGTCTTAATAGGAATGGTCTCTTATAGGATAATGATGCCCTCATCCACAGATTTTGAGGGGTCACTGAATGGTTGGCTGAGTAAGGAAAATGATGAATATCATATGCTATGGCCCTCACAGTCACCAGCCCGCCACCCTATTGAACAAATCCAAGATTTTTAATCAATAAATCATGATTAAATCACCAACTGAGGGAATAGCCTTTGGAAGTTCAATCCCTCCAGTGCAGTCTTAGAGACTGTAAATTGTACCCTAGAGCACAGTGAAGCTATTCTGGTGGCTCATAGCAGCCCAACACCTAACTAACACACTATGTTTTTTCTTAACGTTTTTCAACTGCAACACACTGAATGCTGCGTTTTCTGTTGAACTATTAGTCTACTTCATTCTTTGTGATTGTTGCAGCCACAGGAAACAAATGGTATTACTGATACTGCCTTTCCATAAACTGTGAAACATTTAGAATTTCAACAATAGATAGGCACCCTGTGACTCAGACTGCAGGTCAGTTAGGGACATTGGCTATTCTTTTCTGTCCTGCTGAGCAGTCTGTCAAAAATGGTCAGGAAGTGATCTCTTAAACTAATTCTAATGCTTTCCTTTCTTAAGAAGGTGTTTGTGAATATGGCCACTGCTCCCCTTACCTCCTAATCCATTCCTTCAGAGTGATGAACATTTCCAGGAGGAAGTAGTGAAGAGTGAGAGCAGGCCTGTTCCACAGCACCAGAGTGAGTCTCTCCTTTTTATTCCTCTGCTTCAGCTCACTCAGAGACGCAGCATCTAAAAAACAAATATCAACCCAAAAGACCTGCTCCACATACAGTTCTACAAGACTGAATTTATGCCCATCGTATCATGAAAATTTAGCTGATGATTAACTGCCACATAAATAATTTAACAATTTGATGGTCTACTTTCTGTTTATGTTATGCAACTATTAAAGTATAAACCTAAAGTGGCCAAATAGGCTGATTAGTTATCATGCTTTCTAGCTACTGATGCTTAATAACTCCCAACTGGTAAAAGAAATAGCTCAAGCACAAACACATAAACATTACTAATTGCTGTCACCCATACGTACTGTAGCACCAGTAAGAAGTTCAAACTTTTGGTGACATCTTCGGTGACGTCTCTCGATAAATGTGCTTTCAGCTAGCTTTGATTTACATGCATTTGCCTCAAGCAAACTGATGTGTATGTGTATGTGTATATATATATATATATATATATATATATATATATATATATGAATCTGAAAGTAGCAACTGTGGAAAAGAACTGTGATCAGCTAAAATAATTGTGAATAGCTCAAATAATTGCAATCATGTGATGACGTAATAATTATAACAGGTCTACGTCTTATTGATTCATTTGATGCAATACGCGGGTGTATCTAAAACCCACATCTAACCCACTACAAAACATGCTATAATAATTAAATGATACAAAACAAAATAACTAAAAGCTCATTACTGGCAGATAATTGGCTAAAATCATAATGTTGGTACTGGTTTGACTGGATTTGGCCTATATGTATTACTGCATTCATTAGTCCTGTCACTATCAGCTGACTTACCGCAAATCTGACACTGATATGCACAATCTACATTCCACTCCTTTTACCACTCTCATCTGTAAACCATTTTCAGCCACTGGCTTGTCATCGGCTAGATGTCATTTGATTGGTGGACCAACCTGACAAACTCAAACCAGCATAGCACGTACTACTTTACTATATTCAAAAGCATTCAGACATGTCTCAATTGTCTTAGAACTCCTCCTTCTTTTCTCTGCTTCATCTACACAGGTTTAATTGGATTTAAGAGGTGAGATCAATTAGGAGGCACAGCTTTCACCTGGATTCACCCAGTCAGTGTACTTCAAGGACAGAGTAGGTGTTCCTAATGTGCTGTACTTTCTGTATGATTGTAATCAAGGCAAACAGGTCATGTAAGCTCAGATTTTCTGTAATGCTACTTGCTTGGTTTATAGAGGTTTTCTGACATTACTTGTAATTTAAGCCACTGTTTTTTCACATATTATAATATTTTGGTCCTTACATAAAATAACATTTAATGCAAATTTAGAACTGCCACTATATATAAAACTGTCAAAAAGTCAGAGAACACTCTTTATTTGTTTAGTTTCCAGTCAAAACAGTCATTAAATTCAACTTCTTAATTTTCAGTGTCAGGAAAAAGCAGAAAAAAACATATTTAACAGAAAATTACACAGAAGCTTAACAGGTATGTATAATTTGTCTACACATTGTCTTTATTACAGATTCCATTCTTTTCAACAGACTTGCTTTCAGTTTTTCAAAGAAATCGGCAGGGATATTTTTCCTCCAGAGTTCAGTCTTAGAAGTAATTTCAAACACATTCAATGATGTTGACGTCTGCACTCTGAGGTGACCAGTCCATTGTTCTGAGACCACCAGCAGCTTTGTTTAATTTGCAAATTTTCTTTTTTGTCTAAGCCTTTTTCTCAGTATGACAGGATTTTTAATTTTTTCTTACAAAAGCCAGTGAAGTCCATTTTAATCAGAAATCAGAATGCATTTTTCTTCCTTAACTTGACATATTTCTGAGTGAAACAGAATTGTGGACATTGTTTTATTCTTCAGGATTCAATTGGATTGTGAAATGTGGGCCCTCCAAAACAAATATGCAGAGTCTAATGCAGTCTAATGCAGAATTTGTTTGGTTTGCAGAAAAGCCAAAGACAATTTTTTTTTAAATGTCAAAAAAAGAACTATAACATTTTGATATGAATTTCAGTAGTTTCTTAAACATGATTCATCATTTGTTAAAAGCTTGATATTAATATATATATTTTTTTTAAACCAAGACCTTGACCAGGCGAAAACGCCGGTTAGCAGGCTAGCCTTTTAGCATCTGCATCTTTTTTATCAAGAGATGAACTGTGTGTGTGTTGGTGCACATCGCCCTCATCATCAGCTGACCTGCAGAAAACTTTAAAAAGCAGCTCAAAAACATAAACATCATATATTTTTGAACTCCCTCACTTGTGTTAACATAAACATGGGTGGCCAGTTTAAACAAACTGAAATAACTCAGAAGTGTTGGGGATGGAGGTGGCGATGGGTGTTTTTGCTCAATGACAGGTCAGGGTGGTGAGAGGGGGTGGAAAAACATACTGAGATATTATTGGTTAGTACAACTGTTCCCTGCTGCTGAACACGGTAATGGAACCAAATGTCACAAAGCATCTAGAGGTGGGCAAAAGCCACTACACTTCAATCAAAGTCTATGAGAAAAAAACAAAATTTTGTCTTCTGAATGATAGGAAACAGTAGATTGTGCTTAAAAGACCCCAAAGACAAAGTCCATTTTGATTTCAGGTTGACTTTAAAGTACAGTTTATTTGACAGTGACTGTTTGTTAGGAGTCCCATTTTCTATATATTTTAATATTCTTTAATTCCAGTTTTCACATATTTTCTGTTTCACTTTCCAATTTCTTAAGAAAATGAATTATCTTATATTGTATGTCCCCAGAAATATCTCCTGAAAAATGAATAACGTGTAGCAATACTGAAAAACCATTGCTAAATCTTTAGGATAGATTACGATAGATAGATAGAAGTTCTTTTGACAGTTCATAAAACTCTGAATGGCACAGCACCTGCATACCTCACAGAATGTCTCTCTGTTGATGTTCTAACATGTGACTTTAGATCTGCAGATAGTGGTCTTCTGCAAAAAATGGGAGGAGGCCTCTTTCTGTTATTATACTTTTAAACTGGAACTCATTTCCACCTTTAAATAGACGGTCAAGCTCAGTGCACACTTTTAAGAAACATTTCAAAAAATATCTCTTTAATTTAGCTTGTAATTTAATTTCTCCCTCTAATTTGTATTTATCTCTTTTAAATGTATCTATGTTATTACTTCATTTGATTAATACTCAATTATCATACACTTCTTTCAATTATTTTTTTCCTTGTATTGCTGGTACTGAACAGTAAATAGAATAGTACTCAAATTTAAATTCTTCTGAGACTCTTCTATTACTTATAGTATATACTATTATTATGAATTACTGTTTAATGGCTATTTTGACTGGATATATAAGTGATGACTTACGTTTGCGCAGTACTGTATGTACCAAATGTAAGTGCTTGACAGAGGCTAATAATCTTGAAGCTTTCTTCATGTTGCATAAACCACATCCTGGACCCATTATAGTTTCATAAACGTTTTATCTGCTTTTCTGAGAGCGCTCTATAAAGCTGTCTGTGCATGGGACAATAAATGAATCACCCAGGATACCCAATAAAGTGAACACATTTTCATTGTGATCTTGCATCTCGTTACAGCAGGACACTCCAGCAGGTCTCAAGAGCTTACCTGCCTCCTTAGCAGCAGACTTCCCATTGCGGTGCTCCTTAACGCCTGCTCTCCTCTGAGGACGCTCATAGTCAGCCTGAGTCTCAGCCATCTCATTAGGAGGAGTTACAGACATGGGAACCTGGGGGAGAAAAGAAGAGAAAAACCTCAAGAGACAGCAAGGGAGCACAGAGGAAAAAAAAGAAAGAAAGAAAGAAAGAAAGAAAGAAAGAAAGAAAGAAAGAAAGAGAAAGAAAGAAAGAAAGAAAGAAAGAAAGAAAGATATTTGTCTTTTTTCCTCTTCCTGTGTCTATCACTCTACCATCAATACTCTGCTCTCTTGCACGTAACTGTCAGTCAGACCTGTACATAACCCAAAGATTCCTTCTTATGACAATGTCTTTGGGAGCAATCTTTCACACTTATTAAAGCAGGTAGCCACTTGCACTCCTATTGATTACCATCACTTTCCTGTGAGTGACCTAGTCTTAGCAGACCTTCTGTCCAAGGAGTTTAATGTCAGAGTGAAGAGTGAAATATGCAGAAATTTTGAAAAATCTGTGGAATTCCAAAAGAATATGCAACAGCAAAGAGTCTGCACTACCTTGTGGAAGTTCTCTTTACATGTTAAAGTAACGCGTCACTGCTTTACAGAGAGCACCCATATCTGGATTTCAGTGTCACTTGTGCAATGGTAGGAACCATGTGCTCATGTGTCTATGATTTCCTGCTCTGATCTCAGATACGAAGTAGCAAATACCAAACCTCCTCCTCACTGTACGCAAACACAAGAAAAGCCCACCCCCTCGCCACAAGTGTTGCCCAAAATAACCTACACAAAAAAAAAAAGGACAGCAAAAACATTAGAGGACTACTTTAAGGCTTCTCTCACTGAAAACAGGAACCAGGCAGACTAAGGAAGGCAGGACTTTGGGGAAAGGAGATCTTACAGTAGACACTGAAACTATTCAGAGGGGAAGTGCCTATCTATGAACAGGTAACTGGATGCTGAAATGGAAAGCATCACTCTCACTCTGCACAGCCTTTATGATGACAGGCCAGTTTCAGGCTCACTGGTCTGGGACCTTTTGGGTACCGCAGTCTTTTCTCAAAGACACAAAGCCTTCTGCCGCACACCTGCACTCAAAATGCATAATCTCTAGAACGCAAACAAATTCAGAACAAGGCTCTGTCTCTCTTTTCAGATCTACGGCTATGAGAGTGGCAGGAAATTTGATTTCAAAACTTCCTCACACTGCCTGGCTTAAATTAGCTTCAGCCCCTGGGGCTCACTGTAGCAACTCTAGCACAGATTTTAGAGTGCCCAATCAGTTAAAGCAGCCCTGTAATGTGGCCTCAGTATGAAGCAGTGCACACTGCACACTTGTGCCCTACATAGGCCTATGCAGCAGTGAAGTCTAGTCTATTACGTTCAATTTAAAAAAGGCAATGAGACATGAGCCATTGAATCTTGCTGAGAAGGGCACAGAGCAACACAATACAGCAAAATTCAGAAAAAAATCACTACGAATTTTCCCATAGTAGACCTACAATCAATGGCAAGCACTTTAACCAGACTTTGGTACTGTTTTTATTTGTCAGAAAACTGGCACTAAGGGATTATTTTGCAAATACAGACAGAATCTAATCCTGTACAGACTACCAAGAGGCTTGGACTCCTCTAAAAGGCGTTTGTCCACTTACTCAGAGTCCAGCAGAAGTTGTTTACAGTGAAGAGGACCTGAATAGTGCCCGCACCGTGATGATCAGATGAGGGTGCTCGCAGGGAACTTCCATAAAATTTCTGCATAATTCAATATTTGAGATCTAAACCATTTCATTCAGTGTGATCTGATGTGAAGTTGTGCACTGCACAGAAACTTGTCAACTCTAAAGGGGGTTACAGGAACCAGTGATAGAAATGTCTACAATGAAATGGTAATTAAATTATTAAATTATATTATAGCGGTAAAATAGTGGTAAATCTGAAGGAACACGTTTACTTTGTGGACTATTATTTCGCTGTACAACACCCTGTACCTCTCTGCCATGAACTGATTTTTAGAAAATACATTTTAAGCTAAAGATCATTTTAGAACTATCGAACTGAACGTTAATCAGACCATAAATCAGCACTACTACAGCAGTCTGGCACCTCGTACTGCACATATCCTTTTCTGCTTTCTTTCGAATGTCCCTACTAGGTTAGCACTGGCACAGATGAATGAACAAGAATTTAATAAGTACCCTTCACAGCTTACATGGAAAACCCACAACAGAGCAGGAAAACAGAGCGTAAGAACAGAAAATGCACATGGACCACACAGTAATAACGTTCGTCACACAGATAAGTCAGCCTCACTGTCTTATTTCCACCTGACACAGGCAGAATAAACAGTAGAGTTAGCTGGATCGCTGACTAACGCTCTATTGATTTGTTTCATGCATTATTGCAGCAGTTTGCAACTCCAGACAGCGATCTTTCTTACCTTCCTCTTTGCCTGCCTGTCAAACAGCAACCGCAGGTCGCTGCAGCACTGTGCAGTACGTGCGTTCAACCTGAGGCGCGTATTTCCGCTCATGCGGTACCAGTGGACCAATCTGGATTACGACCAAACCTTGCAGCAAGTGGATAGTATCACACGGTTTACCTGAGCCCACTTAGTCCATCCAAATGCAATCTAAGAGCACGGTGAGTTTAGCGTCCTCAAATGTTTTCTAGTATTTTCTGTGTTCAAAATGTTTCCTACATCATACTGTCAGTAAATGTTTTATGTAAATGTAGGATTTGTCTTCTGGTTTAGCTTATATGATTTGTGGATATCAGATCAGTATATATGACGGTTTGATACTGTTGAATCTGAAGGCCAATGTTTGAGTGTATCATGGTGATTATATACCACGCTCTGCTCTCAGAATATAGACATTTTATCATTCTAGTCCCTTTCCATGTAATGCGTATGTTCGCGGATCTTTATATAACTCGCAATGATTAGTAGATTGCAGGCTCTCCATGTGTATGACTTGAAGATCGTAGATTGTGTGCAACGGCGGTTTACTCGAACGGCCAGTTTTTTCGTGAGGTCATCAGCGGGGGACCAGGACTCATTGTGCAAGAGGAAGCGACGGAAGTAACGTTTGAAGTTTGGTGAGAAAGCTTTCAATAGAAAGTTTAAATAAAATGAAGCGTTTGCAAAGCACGACTAACGAAACCCGATCTGATATTCGGTCTTACGTGGGCACGCGCCGGCTAACAGCTATTCGGCATGGAATTAGCCAGTTAGCTAGGTTAGCTAGTTTACGGGTGTTTCGGGCTGTCTTTTCTCAACAAAACGTAGGTTTCTGAAGGTTTATTCACTGTAATAAAGGTTATGTTGCTGTTGTGTAGTAAAAACCAAGGTATTTCTGTCGTTAATGCTTAAATATTGATATTAGACTGTTCATAGAAATTCAGGAATTTGAGTCCGAAAGTGCTGAAGAGAGTAGCGTTATTTGTTATTCGACGTTGCCATATCTCATCGGATATTTTTCAAATTATTTCCATTATTATTCTGATATATTTAGATTGGGAAATGATCAGTCATTACCAGAATTTAGGTAGTTGAACTGATTTAGCTCCCTCTTCTCTCTGAGCAGCTCTCTGAGACCATGGCTGAATGTCGGTAATGGAAAGGGACACTTTTATTTAAGTGACGACTAAAAACGTTTTTATTAAATAAGCTAAATAATAAAACTATTTTTGCAAGCCACTAGAATTGCTGTTTAAGCAGTTCTAGCATCAAAATCTTCACATTTAGGCTGACGGATTCTGAATCTGCTTTTCAACATTTAGATACATGGAAAAAAAACTGTTTTGAAAATAAGTGTTAATAGTTGGTGCCAGCATTGAACACATAACTAAAGTTAGCTCATTTAGTACAAGTGCACTTAGAAAACATTTAATAGCTACTGGTTTGCTTAAGTGTCTTTTGCCATGATGGTCTCAAAGTTGTATGAAGAATGTTATGATTATTTTGCCTTATACAGTTGGTAAAAAAAGGTGGCAAAAACCAAATTACTTAATTCTCTGTAAGACCTGGTTTAATTTCTGTCCATAAAATTGTCTGCTGATTTTAATTGCATTCTCTGTAAAGTGTCTGCATACCTATACCTAGATTTGTTTCTAATGTAACCAGGTTTCAGGATGGACTCCTTGTACAGTCCGTTAGCTTTGGGCGTGCTGGCCGGGGTCGGTTGTGGACTCTGCTTTGGATGGTACCTACGAGGTCGATTCAGTTGGCCCGCCCGTGGACCGGTGGCAGCTTGTGGAAACACCAGCAGTGCCACTGAAAGCAGTGTTATGGGAGAGAGTGGCGAATTCAAAATGATCCTTGTAGTCCGGACTGACCTCAAAATGGGCAAAGGCAAAGTGGCAGCTCAGTGCTCTCATGCCGCAGTGTCTGCTTACAAGCAGGTCCAGCGCCGAAATCCCGATCTTCTAAAGCAGTGGGAATACTGTGGTCAGCCCAAAGTAGTGGTCAAGGCTCCAGATGAAGAATGCCTTTTAGAACTGTTGACCCATGCAAAAGAAGTTGGGCTGCCAGTCAGCCTTATTCAAGATGCTGGAAGAACCCAAATTGCTCCAGGTTCAAGGACTGTTCTTGGGGTTGGACCAGGGCCTGCAGATCTTGTGGACAAAGTAACGGGACACTTGAAACTATACTAGACGCTGAGGTCACTGGAGACAGCATCTCCTAGATTGTCCAAAGTTTCTAGAATTGTGCAAATTCTCCATCTGTGTTTTTTCGAAAAGGAGGTAATTTGGGATGAAATGATGTATTAAAAAAAAAAAACATAACACAGCTTTGTGCAGTTTGACCATTTATTTTAAGAAGCAAGTAATTCACCTCTTCCATATGAGTACATTTTGTTTGCATTGTAAATATGTATATACAGAGATGGGTCTTCTAGCTTCAGGTTAAATCAGGCAACCATGAATCGTTAAAACGTTGTTTAAAATCATCTCCAACATAAACAATTTCAAAATGTTTGACTTTCCTCACATACCCAGTGGAGACCTGAATGAATCCTGGAATTTCTGTAACTGCAGCTTTGCTGAGACCAAATTACTCACTGCTTTGTGCTAATATGGCTGCTCTAATGGCCATCAGCTCTACAATACTGCACAGATTTCAATGCCCACTTCCAAAACCAGCTAAATGGATACTAAAATTAAATCCATGTGATGCATCATATTTACCCTCTATTACAGATTCTACGCTTAGAACTTTTCTCAACTATGAGTCAGTGAACAGTACTGTCCACTGGGTATGATATCAAGGGAAAAATAAAACATTGGTAATGACGAAGCCAATGACTTGCTGTCATAGCAGCAGTATGAGTCAAAAAGGATGAGTGACTGGAGCAGTACATGCCACATAGCACGGTTTGCACCAGAGAAGCCTTTGTTTATATGGAAGGTGTTATTATTCAAGGTTATTCTGCAAATTTCTATAGTATGTGCATGATTTATATAGGGCATGAAGCAAATTTTACAGATTAATTTTAAGGGCGTACACATTTTACCAAATTAATTGCCAACTTTTCTCCAAGTGTGGAGGTGTGAAACTGGCAGGACTGCATGATTCATAGATTTTTTGTTTATTATCTCTGTACACTTGAGGTGACCTAAACACCATGATAGCCAGCTCATCCACACACACGCACAGCAACAGCAACATGAGGAGAGGGATAACAGTAACACACGCGACACAGACAGGTCTGTATAATAGTATTCTTTTTAATTATCCCTTACTAAATGGAATGGTCCCACATGAAGAGCACTGGTTCCTGCACAAGGAAAGGTCATCTGTAACATTGTAAATAACAGGAAAAAATGTTCGTTTTCTATGCAGTTTTACCAGTGAAACCTCCACGGGCTGGGAAAAGGATAAATCTCACCTTATAAGTCATACTGTCTGTATGCATTTAAAAGAATCTTTCATATTTGGTGAACACTACAAACTCCCGTGTACATGTTATTATTGTATTTGTTAAGTAGTGTTTGTTCATGGAAGTGGCAGTCACTGTGTTCAAATATTTTGGAACAGTGTTTACTGTTCTTTGAATATACGACAGTTAAATGCATTTTACAGACTGAACAACCTGCTCACACATACACACCCACACCAAAATGAGATTCTACATTATTTTTATATTCTCACTACAGAGTGCAAATTGGACGCTTCACAACAGACCCTTTTTTTATTCAATAGACGTGTTGCTCTTCCCGTAAAGTCCTCATGTTGGACATAAACCATTCCCCTAAAAAATATAATGGGAAAAAAAAGAATCTAACTGATGCATGGAATGTGGAAAAAAATATTTCTGGTGATCATATCTTTTCATTTTCTTTGACATTGTAGAAATAAAATGAGTCCTTCATGACAGTGTAAAGGGGAATAAAAAAAACAACACAGGAAAACAAGAAGAAAAAACTTTTTTTAAAAAAAAGGTAGAAGAAAAACTTTGCTCAGATCTCCTGCAGGGAGTAGAAGACAGGCGAGGAGGGCTGGTAAAGAACTTGGCAGGGGAAATAGATGGAGGAGCTGGGCCGAACCATGCGGCAGCATTTCAAGGGAGGTGTGGGGCTGGTCCTTACATGCCGTAGCCAAAGCTGGGCTGGGTCTGAGGAGCCTGACCATAACCGGCTGGTGCTGTGTAACCGTAGCCATAAGCCTGCTGTGGGGGTACGGCCACACTTGGGCCTGCAGTCAGCATCAGCTGGGGCGTGCCTTTGGAAGAAACAGTAAAACAGCCAAAAAGCACAACTGTAAAATCTGGAGTTTTAAACGCTAAATGAAAATACAACCCTCTTGCCAGAACACTTCTACAGTTTACAGCAAAAAATGTTCAGTCTCTTACTGAAAAAGCTAATTGTGAAGGACATTTTCTCATAGGTATCACAATATCTCATCACCAATCTAGTATTTGCAGTTGTTTTCTGCTTAATAAAAGCAGGTAGAGGATGAGGAGCCAAATCATGCAGGAGCTTATATAGAACACACACATCTTGCACCTGCAAACATGGGTTAGTTATCCCACGTTAAAAGTTGTTTTTATTTTTTTTTTACAATAGCAGTGATGGTAACTTTAACAGCCCGATGATAAACTGACTGTATAGACATTAGTGTTGTGCTTGTACCTAGGTAGTCAGGCAGATTTGCTGTTAAATCGCACTGTGCCTTTTGCTTTATTCTTGCTGAAATGAAGAACCGAAAGCTTTTTTCAAAAATGTTTAGACTCAGAGGGGCAAACCTTTATATGCTTTAAAACCCAAAATCATGACAAACAAGCCCAAATTATGTCTACCCGCCAAAGCACTTTTTCCTCGCCCAATCCAAAAACGCCCAATTTTCTGGGAAATCGCATAATCTGGAAACACTGCCCTGTTCAGGCAGGAAAAGCAACCGATCAAATGAAATCAAATGCAAGCTATGTTTATAGACGGAGTTAATCTATTTTCAGAAGAGAAGATAACATTTCAGTAACTGCTCTTACCATAAACAATGGGCTGTGTCTCTGTTGCCTGCTCCTCCTGTTTCCTTAAAGACTCAGAGGTCTCCAGCTTGTCCACCTTTGAACAATCAAAAAAATAAAAAAACCCATTTCAATATTTTGTCCATATATTTCTTAAAATGCTAGCTAAAAGGCGAAAACTAATTTTAGTGATATTCATTTAATGATATTCACCAAGTAATGAAGCATTAACCATAACTGATGGGGCCATGCCTAGCAACTTCAGTTTTCCTTCGGTTTTAAAGTATAAACCTCAATGGAAGATATATGCTGTCAAATAATTACAAAAGCGGAGATGATGAATGATAATCAGCAGAGCTGCAGATCATGGTCCCACCATTCTATTTCTGGACTTTAGCATAACATTCCCATAGTTTAGACAGAATCAGTATGTAGGGAACCAAACCCTTCAAGCAATCAATGCAAACAAGCAAGCAGGAAAAACACAACAAAAAGAGAAACAGATGGGAGATGTAGATAAAGTTCTAAATTAATTACAGAATCTGAGCTGTTACTGTGTAATTAGTGCAGTAAATTAACCGTGAAAATTTGTTGTTTTGTTGTTGTAGCACATTAAATTTGAAGTGATTATGAAGATAAAGCTGTCAGCTTAAATTTTCATAACATGTTCTCTCTGCCAATTTATGGGCCAAACGTAATTGGACAATTGGCTGCTTAGCTTCTTCCTCAGCTATGCGTCACTGCATCAGTTAGCTTATGCACAAAAGCGCTAACAGAAGGAACGGAGGCAATTCTAGAAGTACAATGGCATTTGCATCTTGAGTATGCAGCTGCTGTCTCAACATGAGGACTAAAGAAGTGGTAAAGTCAATAAAGCAGGCCATCTTAAGACAAACATAAAATAAAACTAAAACATTAGGTGTGTCAAAATCAACTGTTTGCTTCATTGTCAGGAAGCAAGAGCGCACTGGTCAGCTTAGATGTGCTCTTGTAACAAGAATACATGTCTGGGGACAAACGTCTAGTGCCAGATGGGTGCTCTAAAACGGCTTATTTTTGGGTGACTTTGCAGCCACACTAACTCATGTTACATACGTGAGCTAACGACAGGCTTGTCGTCCATCAGAAAATGTTTAAGAGCATACCATCATCCCCACTTTGAGCTCAGCCTTCAGAAAGCATTGGTTTAGGAATTTCTCAGTCTGTTCCCTACATTTGTGTTCCCACACATATTTAGCCCAAAATGTCTCACAGATCTCCCCAGACGTTTTTGTTACAAGATCATGAGATGATCTTCGAAAGCTGCTGAATACATCTAAAACATACAAATCATAGAGCTGTCAAAGACTACTCTACAGAGAGGAATACACCACCCTGATCACAGAGGGTGTGTACTTCTTATAAGGTGCATCCAGTCCAGATGCTATAACAAGTTAAAACTGACATTCTTCATTTTAACCACCTAGTCATGGTTTCATTTCAAAAGGAATTTGCTGCAGGAGTACTGCATTTAACTGTACTTGTGCTCTGCACTACGAACATCAAAGCATGATAAAATACACATTTTATCCTTTACATGATCTCAATCAACTAAAAGACCAAGTTCATTATCCTGCAATCCACACAGAAGAGACTTATACATACCTAAAGGATCTGAAACAGTAAAACTGCTAAAAGCAGCATGATGTTTTTGCTTAAACTTGACAATTCCATTTTAAAATAAACACATATGATCACAGGTTCAGTTCACTACATACATTGGAATGAGTCACGTTACATGAGCCTTTCGAAAAAGCTTTTAAAGAATTTATGTTCATCTGGTCTGTTAATATATGTGCATGAAAAAGCGGCACCGGTTCCAAAGCACAGAAAAGCGGGCATGAGTCATTCAATCAGCCAGAGGATCCTTGGATAACTAATGCAAACAAAGAATAGTAATTAGCAATCCTTTCAGGTCAGTTAGGTTACTGCAGATATCTTGTGTGGACAGCATGTGTGCTCACACACAACATGATACCAAGGTGCAAAAAATTCCATTACTACAAGCAAAACATTAATAAATTCAAGTTGCTAGTTTATTGTTAGGTACATTGAATTTGTAGCTGTACTCACTGGCCATTTTATCAGGTACACCTACCTTACAGGTGAGTTACTGACTGTAAACCCAGGTGTTCTTATAGTGATCCTTTTTCAAAGAAGAAAGGCATAGAAGGTGGCTGTTAAATTGTCCACAGCAACAGCTGGAGTATAGTCAGTATTTGTACCTACAAAGTGTCTATAAAATGGCCAATGAGTGTGGATACAAGGTAAGTGTTGCTGATAAACTGGCAACTCGGCATTCAAACATCCGAGAGGCAATATGCATCTTAGCAAAGACACACAAGTCGGAATCTGGTTTCATACAGATACATGTACTACACAGATTTCCTGGAATTTTTGTGGAATATTAAGTGATTAACTGAAGCATCTTAAACTGGAATGACTAATCAATTCCACAACACTTTAAATGTCATAACATTAAAACATTAAAGAGGCACATTCCCCCTCCATAGTCCTCTCACACAAACCTAGCTAGTGTGCATTCATTAGCATACAGTTTTAGTGCCAGAGCTCATGCAATCCACAACTGGTTGCAAGTTTTGCAGACAAAATGGTGCTTCCCTAAAATATATATTCAAGCCATTGAATATAACTGGTAAAATTCTACTGCTCCAACATTGTCTATGTCTTGTTTATGTATTACATGGCTTCCCCTGTGAACACCCTAGAGCAGCTCTTTCAGACTCCAGCCTTGGACCATAAGAGCGCTGCACAGTTTAGCATTCTAACTCCACCTTAAATTTCTTTCACAAAATTGACCACTATTTTACCATCAATTTCATTACTTATAAAAAACCCAGAAGACACCTGTAGGATTGTAAATGTCCATATTTGCATTGCAGACATCACAACCCCTGGTTCCTATCATCAATGCTGTAAAGAAATCTGAGCAGATGTTTTTTCCCTCTACAATGCTTTTGTTTGTCCCATCACACTTTAAATGACTTTGTTAACATCTCAACGACTGAATTATGGAGGTATTTTGCAAGATCAGTGGAATTTCCCTTTGAACCCACCTGATTCAGCTCATTAGATAATTTTGCATGTTTTGTCTAAGTTGAATTCAGATTGTTTGAAGAGGAAAAACCTATAACCATTGCAGGACTGTGGCTCACAAGGACCTGAATTTGATACCCCTGCTCTGGCATTTAGCATTACAATGGTGAAAACTTGAATAACAGGTTCAAAGAACCAGAATGCATAGAATGGATAAAAGGCCAAGTGTGGTACTATTATTTGGTGTTTGGTGGCTGGCACAGAATTAGAACTTAACAGCCAGGCACATTTCTGTGGGCTCCACAAACATAACGTGGCCAAAATATGTATGACTAAAGCCAGCAATTTATTTCTTTACATAGTTAGTCTGGTTTTCCAAATAACTTTGTTTAGGAATACCTGTTCTGTCCATTCTGATGCACTGTAATAGTTGGGACAGTATATGTATCAAGACCATTAATCAGCAGCAGAATGCCATGAAGGGACATGGCATATCATTAGTAACTGCAGCGCTCACTAAATACTCAGCTATGGTTTACATAAGCTTAATAAGACACTGTACATGTGTGGTTTAGAAGAAGCAGTGTAACGTTTTATTAGCAACAAAAAAATAAAAAAAATATCATGCAGTCCCAAAGTTTCACTTCACCAGGCTGAACAAAAAACAACATAGCAAAAGAAAGATGATGAATGAGGAAAGAAAATCATTCTTTCACCTTATCTTTAATTGCATCAACCTGAAAGGAAAGTCAAGAGGTGAAACTTAGAAAATAAAATTATATTATATATATATATATATATATATATATATATACACATAAAATTGGGGAAATAAATTTATAAAAACATTTTTCATAAACTAGATACACTAGAACTGAAAGTTTGTACTTTGCATTTGGTTGCAATAGTTGACTGCATCATAAGACACTGAAAACCTATTTTTAACGTGAACAATTTGCACACAGGCATGTAACTCATTAAGTAGGATAACTAACATGGCTCTAGAAGACACTGTTCAACTGTCAGGATAAACAGGCTGGGATAAACCTAGATCCATGAAAATCTGCTGCATTAGGTTACATCTTTTATCTTCGAAGTTGATTCTCGCCAACTTTTAATATCTCTCTGATGCATGATAATAAGCAATATGAATATAACAATTATACAAATATAATGACAATTGTAACATACTATGAAACACGACCAAGCTACTGTTACTAACTGTTAATACTTACACCTGTATTTCTTAAACAACTATTACATCATGAAGATGTGCAATGCTCCAGTATTTAAAATGAATTTTAAATTTGTGAGATTAGTTAGGACATGTACTTTTGTGGGTGTGAATCTCAACAGTGGCTTAACAGTGATTTAATCCCAATTACCATTCAGTGAATGACGACTGAATACAGGTGCAGTTCTTCATGTTGTGGTTTGATTCGTTTTTACTTTTTAATGAAAAGAAAATTTAAATGTATGAAATTGATACCTGAGATTCTGGGAGACTATCGTCAACCTATTTTGTGAGGAGGGAAAGGGTGAACAAAAAATGAAATGAACTGATGCAAGGTTACTTCAACAGGGCAGATCACCTGTAAGAAGTACTATATTGTCAAACACCACGTTTTGAGTTGGGTTCTAGATATGTGAGGTAGTGATTAGGTTATTAGGTTTTAGTGTTAGTATAGCTTTCTCTGCAGTGATTTAGCAACTTTCTCCAACTCTGACACAACAGCCTGGTAGCACAAGGGCTAAAACTTGCTTCTGCTGCTACTGCCCTAATTACAGAAAACCTCCATTTTTTTTTTTTTAAACAGCTGCCTTTTACATTTTCTGAAAATTTCAAGGAAAATCAAGCAACAGAAATGCTCCAAAGTTACATAAAAATAAATCTGTTCCGTTAATTTCCATTAAAAGTTACATTTTTTGCCCTCTACTGTAAAGTAACCGTTTTGTTGATGTATATATATATATATACCAACGTCTTAATAAGTAATTTGATGTAATGCAATCTGGTGTTCTGTCCATAGGGAGTTGATGCAGTAGAACATGCACTGTCTATGATTAATGAAATAATAATTAAAAAAATAAATCCCTATATCCCTGTAGAAAATATATAACATTTTATACATAGATTCATATATATATATATATATATATATATATTATACACACACACACACACACACACACACACACACACACACACACACACACATATATATATATTAGGGGTGCAGGAAAAAAAATTCTTAGATTCTGAAAAGATTCTGAAAAGATTCACAAATGTCAAAAATCGATTTTCGAAACATTTAATTTATAACGTAAATGTTGGCGGAACGCAAAAGGCGGAACTTGGAAGTGCGGAAGTGCAGCACCCTGACAGTCTATGGTGGCACATAAACACACATGGATGAGTGAGAAATCCGACCAGCTCCCTCTGCATTAAAAGCCAGGTTAGATCAGGAGTCACAACCCAAATGTTAAGAAGAGCCATTTTGTCCTTTCAACAAAAATCAGACCACCTTGGCAGCCACAACATTTATGTCCAGTATGTCTCAGTATGTCCTAGTATAAGTTAGGTTAAAAATTATGAACGAAAACGTGGACTGACTCTGTTCTGCTTTAAGCTTTAGCTATAGCCGCTTTCCTCCCCTTTCTGCCAGAAAACTTTTCTTTAGAAGTAGATCAGTTTCTCGTAAAATGTCTTTCAATGTTCAACTGTTCTCCAAGGCTGAAGTCGCTTCTCATTCTCCAGCTTCTTGTTCGAATTTTCGAAGGTGGAACGGGACAATTCGAAAGAGAAGCTGAGTTCATCTTTACAACTTCTGTGTTTGACAGTCTCTCGTTGCAGATTTAACTTACCAGGAATCAACTGCGCTGCTTATAAATGCAAATAACGCATCATTGCTAGGTGACCTGCAGTCTGCTGAAACAGGGCTTTCGCGCTATGCTGCACACGTCCCATTTCGAAGATATTTTACTGACAAAGCGGATCCCCCTCTCGTCTCTACAACGAACGAGACCAAAACTGAAGTTATAAAATCACTGAATTAAACGGGTAGGACGGCTGTAACAAGTGCTGCATGGACATCTATTGCCACTGGATCTTATGTCACCCTAACAGCGAATTTATCACAGATGAGTGGCAGCAGCGTCTCGTGCTCCAAACAAGAGCAGTGAATGAGAGCCTTCCAGTTCACTTGCCACATCACTTGCATTTGATTTATTAATAAAAGATATTGGAAGTAAATTCATTATAGATCTTTACAAATACTTTGCTTTAAAAGTACCAAGTCCTCTCACAGTGAGAAAATAGAAATCCTGTATAGAAAAAAAAATGCATCAAGATGCATCGATAATCATTTTATAATCGCATCGCAGCCCTCTGAATTGTAATCGAATCGTAAGGTGCCTAGAAATTCCCACCCCTAATATATATATATACACACATACATACATACATATACACACACACACACACACACACACACACACACACACCATTTATAGTCAGTCAATAGCCTAGAATATAAATTAATACTCTGTCAAACCTCTGCCACAGGAAAACCCAGTGGTCACCATATTTTTCTGATACTCCCAACGTTCTAGATTTCTTAATTATGCGGCCAACTTTCCAAATGTCTCTGGCACGCACACTACACATCAGACATTTAATCTTTATCCAGATGTGTAGCATGTCTGATGGGAAAGTAGCAGTTTGGAATGTACAGAGGTTAGTCTTCACTTGTTGTACATATTTATGAGCCTGTCATAACCGTATCAGAGAAACCACAGGACAGATTTTTACATACTCTGTGTAAGAAGAGAAACGTTCAATGTCAAGGAAAAAAGGTCAACACTCAAGTTCATACATAATGCTGTAGCATGTCATTATCTACACTGGAACCACAAACCACAGAAGTATACCTTTATCAGTTGAACACTACACAAACCCTTTGTGTTTGATCTACATGGACATGAGCTTTAAGACATGCGATTATCTACACATCACTGCATGCTTACCTTGCTGAGGTACTCCCTCATAACCTGGATGAAGTACGGCATGGAGAAGTCCATGATGTTGTGCCTCCAAGCGGTCTCCAGTACCACATCGGGTCGGAGCAGGTCATAGCAGGTGAATAGGCAAGCAGCAAAACACTCTTTCTTGTCCTCCAGCAAGAACCACTGCAGCAGCTCCTCCGCCAGCTCTGTGTCCTTTGACTCTGAAGCATACTGCATGGCATCCTGTACACAAAATGCGCAAGTAGAAAAAAATACATATTTAAAAAAGCCACACACATTAGATATAAGATCATCCACACACATAGAGGAAAGTGCTAACTCAAAGGAAATAAGTGAAAAAAAATAGGGGTTTTCATAACTGGAGTTCAAAAACTCTTAAAAGGCATAAAGAACATGAGCCCCCTAAGAATTGTGCAAGACCTGGCAGACCACCAAAATTGTCAGATAAACAGTCCTTAAAGCTTTCATTTAGAGACAGAAGCAAATTAAGTTCCACTCTTGCTTCAGATCTGATAAAGTCCAACTTTGCAGAGCTGTCACCTGGAAGGAACAGTTTAACACAGCTGACCAGAACCTTATGTCTGGGTTCTTTAGCTCCAGTCCTGGAGGGCTGGTGCACAGCACATTTCGGTGATTTCCCAACTCAAACACCACTGGTTCAATTAATCTGTTAATTGATAGGAGCAGAGAAACCACCCACCTGTTTCAGGACAGGAACCCTGCTTTATGCCAACTAGGACTACTCTAACCATAAATGACACCAAAAGTCCAATAGTAAACCTAACCTCATTTGTGACACAGAAGACACAAAAATATGTTGTTTTTTTTTTTTCAGGTCATGGCCATAACTGAATTTCGAGATATAATTTCGAAATCTGGTCTTAAGAAATGTAAAAACGTGCACCTCCACACACTAGTTCATATTTCAAAGAAAAAAATATTCAATATTTTAACTATTTTTTCATTTGTACACATGCTAGAACATCAAAACCCCCCAAATGTACATAATCAATCACACATTTCATCAGCTTCATTAGCTGTCTTACTTTCTCTGCATAAATCTACATAGTAGGATAGACTGCAGTACGATTCAAAGGAATCATTTGATGAGTCTTGAGGGGTTCTAAAGATATCAACCCCATGACTGCCATGGTAACAGAGGCTATAATTGTATTTAGGATATGGGGCCATGATGAACTGCCACAAAACCCAAAACTAATATATTCATCAAGCTCCAGAAAGCAGTGGAGAGAGGAAAAACTCACTTATATTAAAATGCATAAAAATAAAGAGCAGGCCAGAACGGCACTGCCACTGTGAATAAATGTAAAATCCTAAATTATTTCAACTTAACCAATTTGTGAAAAGATCATGAATTTGAGAGATCCTCCCTATACCTTGTAGAGTTTGTCCTTCTTGCAGAGCTCCACACTCTGTTTCCAGCGATTGTTGCCTTTAAAGAGGTAGGCAGCAATTCTCCTGAACTCAATAAGCTCATGCTTCTCCAGCCGCTGAGCCAGTGCAATGTTGTCAAAGTTATCATACGCGTCTATAGACGTCCGAAGTGCCTATATTTGGGTTGGGGGAAAGAAAAGGGAGCAAAAAAGGAAAAAGAAACAGCATTTGTGAATGCTGACTCAATAATATTATAATATATTATAATATAATTTTATTTTTTTTGCCGATGTTACTCCATGTAGTAGCGATGTCAAAGACTGTATCTTTCAAAGCATTTTATAAAGCTAGGAAAACATTTCCCAAATAATTATTTCCAATTACACATTACTAAGCAGGGGCCAGGGATAACAAGGGACTTCAGGCTGGAACGAAATACAAAGACAGCAAACTCAATTCTGGCTCCTTACCTGGTAGTCTTCCTCTGTAATGAAAAGGTTGTTAAGTGCTTCGTTGACAGACTTGTTGTTGTGGTTCTGTACAGATCGCAGGTAGGGTTTGACAAGTGGGAGCTGCTTAACCTGCAGAGAGAGCAGAATAAAAACAATGGCACTTTTATTGTCTTATAACTTCTAATACCCTTTAAAGTACTCCATATCATACTCAAGAGTAATGCCAATCGTGTAGAACTATTATTCCAAAGTTAGATGAAGAGTAGCCTTGATTCAGACCTGGAATGTCATACATGCCAGGTTCTCTTACCTTGGTGAAGAAGTTGACAGCGCGTGAGTGGTCCAGTCTTGGCGAAAGCACTATGAGAAGGTCATTCAGTAACAAAGGCTTGAACTCCAAGTAAAACTGGATTGCTTTGTAATACAGTTCCACATTGGCCACCTACACACAGACGCACAGAACAAAGCACCAAGAGAAAGATCTATGAAGACAGACTAAACAGGGATCAAGAAACTGTTCCATTTATGCAGCACCAAAAAAAATGTGGTATTCTTGCTGTTAAAATGGCACTAAACACTTCCACTGCAATGATAAAAGCCAAGATAAACAGACTGTACTAAGTGTAGACAGAGACACAAAATAGCACACATTCCTATGAATTTCAGTGGATCTGTGGAGCTGTACCTTGGTGATTATGTCCTTGAACTGGCTCTCTTTCCAGGCATCTGTGGGGTGGTTCATCATGGTGATGATGGCATTGTCATACTCCTCGTACTTGTCGTACAGGAAGACTAGCTCTGCCCACAGATGGGCCTGCTCTGCTGCCCGCAGCACCTGGAAGATAAGCAGACAATTCAAATGATACCTAAATCATTCCTGCACTTGGTCATATTTGTTAAGTCCAAAGTGAATGAAGAATCAGCCTGGCACACCAAAGTGGACTCCAGTGTGGACACTGGAGTCTAATACGTTGAGGACTTGATCTTAGTAAAATTCTTCACTGAATAAAATTTGTTTTCCTGAGATGAATGGACTCCATTGAAAAATGGAGGATGAAAAAAGTATCTATTCACCCTACCAGCATGTTCAACTTCGCTACATGCAGCTCAAGTGTAAAAATATAGAAGCACGTCCCCCGACGACTGATATTTGAATAGTACAGCTCATTACTTTGACCAACTCAGAAAGCACTTACTTCTGAAAATTAAGTGCCTTCATAATTATGTACCTTTGGGATGTTGACCCTGGACCAGAAGAGCTCCAGGTGCTCCCTCATCTTCTGAGGCTTGAATTTGGAGTAGAGTATGGCCAGTTCTGTGAACATGCCCATGTGAGCACGCTCCAGTCCCAGTGCCGCCTCCAGCATAGTGATCAGCTCCTCAAAGTAACCACGGTCCTACACAGAACAGAAAAAAAAGCTTTTACTTCACAGAGCAGCTACAGTCATTACACACAAAATGCATATATTAACGTATATATCAATGATTCCTTTGTAAATCTCGCTCAGGTCCTGCATTCAAAATATCAGGATTAAAGGAATTAATTATGGAAACTACAGCACAGAAGTTCTCTTCTCATAGAAACTGTATCTGAAATTTTGATCTGAAATTTTAATTCTGGAAACTTAATCAACACCTGCATTTCCTAATACTGAATATTTGACATTTATTCATTTTATTGATTTTTCCTCAGACAAAAAAAAAAAAACTGCACTAATTGTGTCTCTTTGAAACAGCTTTAGTCTTTCTATATTTCAGCAGGTACTGCTTGCCTGGTAGTAGTTAATCAGCTCTTCCAGTTCATCAGCATGGACTACAATGTGAAGGCCGCACATCTGAGCCAGTCTGAACTCTTTGCCATCCACACAGGCAAAGCACACCTAGACCAAGATATCAAGACAAATTAAAGTACACTGAAAACAGCTACATAAAACTCATACAGCTTTAGAATGCATGCAAGTTGTCCTGTCTGATTATGTAAATCATAAGACAAAACCGTAACATCTCATTGGCTCACCTCCTTCCATGTGCGTGTGCTGTTGGCCTTGCGAGCTCCATCCACAGCAGCCTGGTATTCTCCAAGGTGAACCAGAGTGGAGGCCAGGCGGCCAAAGTTGGACACATTGTTATAGAGTAACTTGGCAGCCTCGTACATCTTCTCATCATAGCAGCGATCACCCACCTTTGAGGAAAAAAAAATAATTGACCTCAGCATTTCAATAATTTATGTATAAAAGCTATTCCTTTGCAATAACAATCTGCTGCGATATCTAAAAAATCTATAAAAACAAACATCTAAAGTAGTATCATAGTAACATGGCCTGAGTAATTCAGCTGCCACTGTAAACTTAGCATTAAAACTAAAAAGTTCATCTACATTAAAATTACACATAGACTTTTAATTCTACAACTTTAATACAATAAATAGTTATTTTTTGCATGTCAAAATGTTTGCTCCCGTCATGGCAGCCCAATATTAACTGTAGTTATCATCCATATCCTGGTTTGGCTAATCAATGCTTTATGTGAAATCAAGTTCACTGGTGATGGATTTTAACAAATCTATGCAATGGCTGGGAGCGTCCAGGATAAATCTGGCAATCAAACTTTTTTCTTCAGACTAGCTCACAAGATATCAATTACTTTTTCAAAAACAAGAAATTCTTTTTAATTGTATTGTATTTATGTTTATTTACATCTGTTCTAATGATATAGGCTGTGTCTACCAGTAAGAACACACTTACTGCCAAGATGAATGTTTTTAATAAACTGCTTAGGTGCCTAAGCCTTTTACAGTACAGTATATTCAAATTTTTTTATCTATGTAATCTTACTGTCTCTTTACAACAGCTTAATGTTTTACTTAGAGTTGTATTACCTGCTGGATGTGGGCGTTGTTGGGGCCATTAATGAACTCTTCCAGCTCAGCCAGCCTGTTGGTTTTAGCCAGAGCAAAGATCAACTCTGTCTCCACATATGACTCTCTGGCCTTTTTACGAGCCATCTGCAGGAATTTCACCAAGTCCTCCCAATTACCTGCCAGAGAACAAATTTAGTACATTCTTCACTCAAAGCAAGGCACTATAAACATTTTTAGGGCACAATTACTTAACCAGGATTTAATCTTGTGCTTTAAATGCCCTTACCACTTTGGTCAGCTGCCTGCACTACCTCCATGTAAGCAGAGGGGTCTGCAGCCTTGATGTAGGAGTCGATGGCCTCTTTCACTAGGCCTTTCTGGAGCTGAGCCTTAGCCAGCTGGCTCCATACAGCTGGTTCGTTGCAGCGCTCTGCAAACTCGTATGCCCGGTCCAGGTTACCAATGTGCTCAATCAGAACCTGCAGGGAGAATGGCGGTTTTCATGCAGCAATGCTTAGAGTAATCATTATGCTTTTACTTTCAGGGATGCTGATTCCTAAAAGGCTGTGTTCATCTGGACTGCTGGAACATATTAATAAAGGTTAATCACTGGGAAATTGCAACACATCATTAGTCATGCTAACCTTGAGGGTAGGTATGTAGACATTTCAGCAAGCCTGTCAATTCTGACACAGTTGATCTGAGGACATACTGAAATTGGAATAGCTTTATGCAGCATACATACCTGCACTGCTGAGGTGTTGACATCAAATTTCCTGAAAATAGCGAAGGCCTCCTCGAAGAGTTCGCTGCTGATGGCAATGTTAGCAATGTCAGGAGCGTCGTAGTTGTCCAAACGGTTAATGTACTCCATGACACGCGTGCGGTCTGCTTTGATGGCTGTCAAAATCAGCAAGTTCTGTAGGTTCCTGAGAACAGGAAAAGTCACTGATTACAAATTGAAAAGGGAGAAACCCAGAAACACAATATGGATGAAACTGGGATTTGGCCTTCGATGAGTGTACCTGTGTTCACTGAATACAGAATTATCCAAGACAATCTTCTCCAGAAGTTCGATGAGTTCATTCGGCAGGTCAGCTGTCATGAAGGCCTTGACTGTGACTGACACCTCCTCTGGATCTTGAGTCTCCGACAGCGCCGTCTGCACCACCTGTCACGGAGAAAAGGAAGATCTACGATTAAAATCATATTGAAGGCAGTGCTTTCAAATGATATGTATAAATTTATACCCACTTCTCAGGCATAATATGGACAGAATTCCTCATACATGGAAAGCAAACAAAGACAGAGGAAAAGGCTAATTTAATCTATTATATGATCTGACAAAAAAGTGTTAAATACAGCAAGAATATGAAGAATCTGTGGTGTGGCCAGGGGACGGGCCGACGCACAGTGACTGGGAGACCAAGCGAAAAGCCCAGAGACACACACACACACACACAAACACAAACAAAACCGTTAAATAAACGGCTCAAAGGTGGAGTCCACAGTCAGCACCCAGGTGTCAGGCCCAAACAGCCATTCTAGCTAAGGATGTGACATGCTCCTCGTCCTTCAGCAGGAGAAGCACTACATCCACAAGGGTTGGAAGGTCCCGGAAGGGCCATAAATATAAAGAATCCTTCATCCTCTCTAGCTCAGTCCTTGCTCTCTGAAGTATCGGCGGCCATGTGGCCAGCATCCTCTCCTTCTCCAGCTCTCCTCTCTCTCCACCCCTCAGAGAAAGAACATCTTTAAAGGTGTTTGTGCTCCCTCTCTGATCAGAGGAGGAGCATGTGCCATGAGGAGGGAAAACGTGACAGCTCCACATGTCCACCGCAACAAATCACTTTAAAGGCAGATTTAAACATATGCTCACGGCTTATCATTATGGAAAATCAGGTATGTTCTCACCTGGTCGATGAGAGGCCTTCTGAAGGGGTTGGTTTCAAGGAGCACACTGGCCCAAAGCTCAGGATCCCGACGGCGTACCAGATAACGAGACAGACTCTTAAACAAGGAGTTCTCATTACACACCTACAAAGAAACAAACACAAAAAAGTCAATCGGCAGCTTGTTCATACATCAGTGACTAGGCTAATGAAGAAAAATAAAGCAAATATTTTGAACAATGTCTCTAATGGGTAATACAATCTCAACACTGATTTGCCATTGAGGCAACTAAGCCTTTGACAATGCGTATACAAAGGACAACCGTCAACTCTGCATAGAAGCTCTGGATCAAAATCACTTTGTTAAAGCCTCTCTCATTCCATCAAGTAATGTACAAGAAAAATCACAAATAAGCATCAGAAACAACAGATCAGCAGCAGAAACACACTGATGTAGACACTTACATGGATGAGCTCTTGGTCACACTGGCCTCTTTCATAGGCCACGCAGGCCAGGTGGGGGTCCCTCTTCTCGCAGTATTTGCCAACCACACGGCTATCGTAGTAGGGGTTCTCCCGCAGGAAGCGCTCTGGGTTATTGTTGCTGTCAATGTAGATCTTGGCCAGGGCATTGTGGGTTGCGGGCTCCTCGCAGCCTTCATGGATGCGAGCCTCCAGCCAGGGCAACAGCAGCTTCAGTCTGGAGAAAAACACAACAGAGACACACATAAGAGTTCATTACTGTACTAGCAGCTCATATGTTAGCCAGACAGCAAGCTTTTTTATGTTTGCTCAAGTTATGACTGGCTTTTCATAACTGAGTATTTATCTAATGTGGCGATTCTACAAAAGATATCACATACACAAACTAAAACTTCCAAATTATTGTTTTACAGAACAGTAAAATTGTATGCTTGGCCCAAATGACTATTTAATTGCCATAATAAATGGTATCAAACTCACTTTTTTTTCCCCCACTCATGAGTCACTCATGTGTAACTAATTTCATTGTTAGTTAAAAAAATGCCCTCGTGCTCAAAACAACGCATCAGGTATTTAAAATGTTTAAAACTGATTTATAAAAACCATAAAGCTGATTTATACCAACGCAAATTTTGATGTGTGAAAAAAGCCCAACAAAACAAGTGAACAGAAAAGAAAGCTCAGAAGAGGTTTTTGTCCATACCTGTTCCTCTTCTCTACCTCAGCCACCAGCTCATCTGTGGAGAACTGCCCCCTCACCACCAGGATCAGGTTTTTAATCACATCCTCAGAGCAGTCCACATCCAACAGACCACCAATCACCACTGGCAGACGACTGGGGTTCACCTACAGCGAATACAGTGTTACACAAACATGAGGTGTCAAGTGTGCAATTAAATGATAACTAGATCAACCTTGTCCTAGTCTTGCAGGGCCAGACATGGTCTTCTAGTGAGAATACACTTCTGGGGACAACCTGTTAAACATTTGGAGCTGGACTGTAGTGAAATCTGCTGCAAACAGGGGTACGCCCCCTCTAAAAGCACCCCCAAATTCCTCTAGTACATTTATCTCACATACAAATCCTAAACTTTGTCTTTTCCTGATTTCCTGAGCCCTCAATTCTTTCAACATCACATCTAGCCTGGCTGTACGGTCGTAAACATGAATACCAGACACCACAAACAGCTGCTGTTAACCTGTCGTTAACTTTTTTTTACCAGTCCAGTGATTTTCTAAAGTACAACCTGGTTTAATGGAACTGTTTAATCTTACAAGTGGTAATGTTTATTTTTAGTGCTTTAGTATTTTAATGTGCTCTCCACACTCACACGTAATTGAAGTTTTTTGAGAGACTTTTTAGCCACGCTAACTAACGTTAGATCTATGGGCTAACAGCAGGCTTGTTGTTGAAATTTACACAGAGTTTGTTCCTACCCATCTATAGCCCAAAATTTTCCCATGATTGTTCCCAGACATTCTCGTTCCTAATCATGTCTGGCCCTGCAAGACTACTGTTTTCCTTCAGATGAACATGAACCTGAATGAAAAAGCTGAAAATAAAAGCTCACTTACCTTCTGCACATAGATCTCAATGTACTTCTGGAGGTTGTTGCGATACAGGTACAGCACCAGGTCATGGACGAAGTCAAAGCGATCACACACAATGATGAGAGGCAGCTGGTCGGTGAGTTTTGCCTCCTGTTCATTAAATGAGTGATGAATGAGAGGGTTACATCATATACTAAGAGCACTTTCACAATGACTGTAGCCTAATCTGCTGTGTACTTCCACTACTTTTAATGATCTGAGGTGATGTTACAAATCAAGCCAAACATCATGTAACAATTTAAGCCAAATCAATCAAATCAAGGTCTTCAAGAAGGGACCAGAAATTTTGTCTTTATATTTTAGCTGTTTTTTTTTTTTGTTTTTGCTTTTTTATTATGGGCAATATAGAGAGCAAGTGCAATATAATTTGTCAAATTCCATTAACACAAAAATATTAGGCTCAAATGAATTTGATAGTTTATATATTAAGTCCTAATATGTTAAATTCTGATGGATATTTTCATTTTATATGCATCATAAAATCACTTTAATTAGTAAGTTCCTAAATCTTAGAATAGAAGAATAGTAGCATATCATATACTTATGTATGCAAGGTCCTTGATGATATGGGCTCAATGTATCATCCAGCACAACAACAAATCAATTAAAAAGACCACATAAAAATGTATTTCTATTCAGTCAGTGGCTGATATCCTGGTAACAACAGAGAACAACAGATTTGGCTGCAATCTCACAAGCAAATCAAAAGAAAGAATAAACACGCAAAAATCAAATTAGAAATCACTGACAATGAGATTGTGGCATCATTTTCTAACTGCGTAAAACCCTCCAGAGCATTTCATAAAGACATAATATTAGGAAAAACTAACAACAACCAAATGCATTTCAACTACCACAATTGGCACGTGCTACATTTTGAGAGGTTAGAAAAGATGGCTGAGTTGTCCACTGTAGGTAAAATGAGTCTCTACAGAGTGGACAGAGTTGAACAGAAATAAAATAGGGCAAATGAGCTAAATAAAAACTGCCAAGGAGTCTCTCATGCTTTGAGTGGGTAGTGTAAGAGCTCCCTCTGTTGGTTAAAAGGTCTAACACTCTTGTCAAGTGTGCCAAAAAGAAACTTTGCTGCCTCTCAGCGATGGCCAACAAAAACAGGATTAATGGACTGGGATTGGCCAATCTAGCCACTGAAAATGGAAGCCAGGGGACTCATACACAACCACAAATACTGAAAAGAATAAAACAACTACTAGTGCACAACGCAAAGTCTGAGAAGGTTTTGTGCAGCATTGCACTTGGGCCACAGTTTACAGATTTAGCTCAGTCAGACTAAAGCAATTGAGACTTTAAGCATAAAAACTGGTGGGGTAAAGATAAATGAGAATATATCAGCAGAATCAACCTATCAACTGTGACTTCTGTTTCTTTAAAGAGGGTAACAGGATCTCCATCAACTAGGCAAAGTCAGTGACAAACAAACATAACAACACAGACATACAGGATTTGAACTGAATGCTGGCTTATGTCTATAGACGTGCCTACCTACAGATCACTATTGGAGAGATTTTATTTCTTTGCACATTTTTAAAAAGCTGCCCTGGAGTTGCATTCCACATAAACACACTCACACCAATCCCAGTATTAATCCTCAAACTAACCACTGGGAGGAAGGGAGGGATGACAAAAGAAAAAAACATGAAAGAAAAAGGAAATTCTGTACTTTTTTGGGTTGGGGTGGTTTACCTGGTACATGTCCTGCCCATTCCAAAGATACAGGTGAAAAGCATAAGAGATAATAACCACTGTCAGGATAGAAATTCATGTTGACTTTCTAGGCCCTACAAGCTAAAACACTAGCTACTCTACTTGGGGATGTTAAGTAGGATGTTAAAGAAAAGAAAAAAAAACAAGACCAGAGTTATTATGCCATGCTTTGACCGTCATTTCTCGGACTCATCTAATTTTACAGTCAGCGGTACATTTTAAATGTTACTCAGACAAAATCAAAATAATTTCGACAAGCTGATGACTTGCTTCTCCAAACCAGACAATCACTGAAAGTGGATATGAGAAGAATACATTTCTGTTACGGGGAATAATTTTTGAAATGAAACTTCAAGACAAGTGCTACAGAAGCCAAATGGAGAAAAACAAAAGACTGAGAGATCCATGTTAGAGCTCCAAGTGTACACGGAGGAGTACAGAACCAGCCAGAGGAAGAGGCGATGAATGGACAAAAGAGAGAAAAAAGAAAGAAAAGGGGATGGAAAGAGAGCTAATGAAAACAGAAACAAATTGGATTCAGTGTGCTTTTGTGGTCAGCTGTAGATCACCCTACGTGGGCATTTCCCGACACCACCTTGGCCGTACCTTGAGAAAATTCTTGACACGCTCGGGGTCGTAGCAGTTGCTCTCTCTGCAAATGCGCTCCACTTCCTTGATCTGGCCCGTCTTGCAGGCAGCCTGGATGTACTTGAAATGGACTTCTGGGTCCTGACTGAAGTTCACAATGGAGCCAAGGAAGTAGAACAGACCTGAGGAGTCAATCATAAGGAAATGTTGTAACAAAAAAATGTCAGTCCAACCACTGGAATATAAAAGAGTATTTCTCTGTCCTCGAGCATAAAGTCAAACTTAAATCATTTCTAAACAGTTTGTAGAGTGGAGGAGGACATTACTGTATGCTCAGAAACATAGTGTAAGTGAAAGGAATAGAGTCCACTGACATAAAAGGAACTTAAAAGGAACACAGAAGGTTACATATACATATTTATTCTGTGAATGTCCCGATCCATCTTTCCTCAGATTAGAGCCAAGTATCTTAACGTTTACAATGACAATCTGCTGATAATGAAGTAATGCAACTTTTTTTGCACTATTTACACCGGACGTTAACATCAGATCACAACGATCCATTACGATCAAGATCCTGTTTACACCTTTCAAATGCAGATATTGATCAAATCTCATTTTTCCACACAATATTTAAATGTTTTAAGCATGCTAGTATGGTATTGGTGCAGAGCTGGCATATCCAATACAGGCTGTGTTGTCAATCATTTACAAAACATTTTGCCATCACAGCACAGAGCGCTCCAGGCATTTTAAATTACATGACAAGGAAAGATGCTGACATTCTGTTTGGCAGCTGCAACTGACACAGTCAAAAGAAAAATATGGGTTAAAACCGTGCTCAGAGGTGATGGGGAAACTGTACTCCCCTTTGCAGGCAGCAAAAGGCTTTTTTAGGGACGGGTTAGAATGGCAGAGAGTCTGGTGCTTTTCAACGCATAACGTAGCCAAGAACGGCCTACCTTTTCAGGAAGAGGCGGTTTGACTGACATGCAAAATGAGAGCAAGCTGTTTTGGCACAGTGTGTAGGGGGAGGCGATTTAGGGGAAATCAAACAATCCCACTGACATATTTCACTCTGAAAGGCTCATTTTTGTCGTCACAATGTCCAGAGCAGACTGTTGCTGACTAGAATTTATCTGGAAGAAACTTTTCCCATTTGCCGCCTGAATGGTAAATGTATATACGGACATGCGAACAGCCAATTAGAATGCAACTGACTGCCCAAGTGCTCTGGCCAGCATTTTGCGCAAAAGACTTAAGGAAGCTTACTTTAGCTGATACCTGATCCATTAAATTCCTAGATTTCCTAGACTGGATATCAGGACAACATTAATTTATTCTTGTCCTTAGATCAGCTATTAAGAGATATGTCTTCTTGGCTAAACCATACCAAGGCACTTGATTCATAGCTTGAGGTCACAGGGTGCAGCTTACATTGATTGCCAAGGCTTCTGTCCTACTTAGCTAATCACAGCAGGCTACATGCTAGTCGATATTCAGAATGAGAGCAGGAACAGAGATTGAGGAGTCCAGTGGATGCAGTAAGTTAATTCTGATATAATAATAGAGACGGTTTCCTGAGACATTTAGAAAGATGCTCAGTGTTCAGTCTTGAGATACTGCCTTCTTAGCTAGACTTCATGGAGAAACTAACCGTGCAGAAGTAGTTTCTCATGTCTGAATTAATTGCACAACTAACCAAAGGGAAAAAGAAGAATTCCTCACATAACTGAATACATATTCTAAATATGTTGTTTAAAAGTGCTAATTGTTCTACACATAAGGGCACCATATTCTTACCCTCAAAGCTCTTGAAGGACTCGAAGAGCTCAGTGAGGGCCTGGGTGGAGAGCTGCTCGTGGTACTTGGAGGCCACCTGCACGCAAATCTGGAGATTCTGTCTGATGTTGGCAGAGAGCATGGCTCTCAGACACTCCAGAGAATCTTCCACCGACAGAGAGCCAAAGAAGTTTACTAACCACTAGAGAGAAGGGGGGGGTAAGAGAAGCTAGGTGAGTCAGTTATGTTCTGGTTCTAGTGCTCACATCATACATTTGGAAAGACTTATTCATCCAGAAGGCAATTTTAAACTCCATTCTTATTTATATCAGGCAACTTTCACTTTATATTTAATTTAGCTGTAAAACAAGCTCAAGTGGTGTTTTAACCTCATATACTTCTTCATACACCGATTAAAAGTAGACACTGCCACAGACAGGTGTCTCGTGGGGTGCGTGTACCTCTGGGTTGAGCAGGTGTGTGTGTACGACGGCCCGTTTGATGTCATACAAGTCTGTGTAGTGCTCCAGAGCTCTCTGCAGCAGTCCTGCCTTCTCACACAGCTGGGCGATGTGGGCACGGTCATAATTAGTGAACATCTGATTTCCCAAGATAGCATCAGCAACCTACAGAGGGCACCAAACACACACTCAGAACCAAACAAAGACCCTGGTCGTCACAGGGTGGACATCAGACAGGTGGCCAAAGTGGGCTTCTGTGTATGTATTCACAGACCTGAGGTGCATGCATGAGGTTCATCTCAAGCAGACGTGTCTGCAGCGGACCCTCTGAGGGGCGGTTGTTTTTGAGGGCATCCAAAAGGAAGGATGTGCACTGCTGGATCAGGTTATACTCCATAAACACATCTACGATCTGAAGCAAAAATACACAGGAAAGCTCACACTGTAACGTCACAGAAAGGGTGGGCGAAACAGCATGACGAAACTAAGATATTTTCACAATATGCATCACAATATCAAGTTTGTAAGTAAGAGCAGACAAAAGCGCACCAGCAAAGCAGCAGTCGCACAAAAAAAAAGGTACGAAAATGGAGTAAATTTTTTGTAATTCAATGACTGTAAAAATAAACCACTGAGGGAAGTATTATTAAAAAAGGTATTAGTTACTTTGAGGTATTGATTACTTGACATTATTATGCACCAATTTTTGTTTACATGCTCCCTATAATAGATATTACTAATTAGATATTTAAATATGTAAGAAATTATGCAAAAAATATTCAAGTAACACCACATGCTTAAATAACCCTTAACCACCTTAAATTGTACACCCATGTCCTCACTCTGTTCTGTCCTCCCCTCACCTGTGTGATGTCAGCCAGTGGCTCCTCGTCCTGCACCAGCATCTGCGCAAACTGCAGGCCTTGATCCGGACTAATCCGCATCACGTTCCTCAGCAGGAAGATCCAGTCTGGAGTGTAGCCCACCTAAAGAAAAGGCAAAGGAAATATATTTTATTAATCCAAATAGAAATGAACAGTTTTAGGCAGTTTTAAATGAGAATTCAAACGATACAAACGAACACCAAGTTAGACATGGAACACAACCACTTTTCCTTTACCAATTTCGATATTGTGACAAATTGTTTCTTTAATGCCACTAAGCTTTAAGAAGAGCTATTTCCAACAGAAACATTTTTTACTTACGATGAGTATTTAAAAGAAGCTGATCACGCTCAAACTACTCAAACACTACTACCCCACAGAAAAAAATACATAGCCAACATGATACTGAATAATGTGAGTCTGTGATATTTCAGGCTAAATTTGTTACATGATTGGATCGGATTGATTCTTTTTCCCTTCTGATATCCGATCCAGCATTTTCTACTGATATCGGCCCAATACTGATCAGTGGTTTTATATCGGTGTCATCTCTACACCAAAATAGTCACAAACTGTAATCCTGCTTCCAAGAACACAAAATGGTTACTGCTCAGCTTACCTTTTTGGCATACAGAACTATCTTAGGAAACTGTCCGGTTTCAGCAAAACACTGGATGACTTTGTTAGGGACATTGGCTCTCAGGTAGACACTGAGTGCTAGAGTGGGATCTACAGATTTCACCAGGTCTCCCAACTCCTCCGAACACTCCAGCTACAACAGAAGACACACACAAGATTTATTACTAATGAACTGAAATGATCCATTTTCCTTTTAAATTCAGACACATGAGCAGTGAATAAGGTGCCAAGCACCGTAACTTGTAGACAGTCCCTATCCGCTGTTACAGAACCATGAAAATTACTGCAGAAAACCATAATTTTTTCGCATTACAGTACCTTTCTGTTCAGACAGGTTCCATTTAACTGTATGATCTGTTAGCTAATGTTAACATTAGCTCACTCCAGCATTAAAATCAGGCAAGTTAATATTACTCAAAGGTAGGTTAACATCTAGTTAAGCTGTAGAATTTCGTGCAGCAACAAACAAGGATAAAAGAGCTTTTCATCCAAATCAGTTTGATGTAGAATCTGGCGATATGGAAGACAAGGGTAAATGAGGACCTCATTCAAATTCACTCAGGAAAATGCAGCAGATCTTAGTTCTGACTAGCGATAAAAACTAAATACTTCCTAAAAAAAAAATCTTTATATTGACCAAATAAAAGACTATGAAATGTTGCTGGGGAGGGGACATTTTTTAGTATTCTCTGATGAAAGCAGGATACCCCCTCCTTCCATTAATTTAAAACTCTTCAAATCTACAAGATTTATGCAAATGGTGTGGTCATTCAAAACAGCAAATTTAGACAAAAGGTGATGGGTCTGAAAATCACATACAGAATGTTTAACAAAAAGTTTCATCTTGTCACCTTGCTGCACAACTGGGAGGCGCTGTTATGCTATTTTCCCCAATATGCTGTAACTGGAGCAAAATCAATACATTTGTCCATTTACCGGGCCAGAGTCTGAGAACTGCATTCTAGCTCGCAGACAGTCCAGATTTGGCCAATCCTTTTTTCCATTTTAAGGCTTTAAAGGGAAAAACCCAAACAATCCTCAAACACAAACACATTACCTCACATGTTAAACAGCACAAACATCTTAGATAACATTCTCACACACACACACACACACACACACACGCACACACACACACACACACACACACAAACACAAACACACAAACTGAGTGCGCACTGAACTCTCTGTCACACACTCCCACAGGAAGGGCTTCCCGGTAGGGTGTGTGTGTGTCCTGATCCTAATCCACTATCTGACCTTATCTCTTGTTCCCTCTCTGGTTGCATACCTTGTCTTCTTTGAGCCATTTCTCCAACAGCTGTTTACGACCCTGCTGCAGGACAGGCCTGCACAGCTCCAGAGACTCAAACTTGTTGAGCTGTCCCTGGTCAAGCAGGATTCCGAAGTACTGCAGCAGAGGAGAGGTCTGGCCTGGCTGGGCCGGCACACTCTGGAACCGCCGGATGGTGTCTGGAGTACGCAGTATCCCCTGATCCAAAGAAACACGTAATAGAGAAGTGGGTCAGACGGAGCTACTTGTACAAACAGAAGACAGAAACATAGTACTGTGTCTTAAACAGCCAAGAAAATTGCTTAAAACTATATATCTCTGCAGTAAATGTGTTTTTGCTAAAAATGTAAAATTAGAATAAACATAAAAACTTAAATACAGTAAAACGTAACAACGTCTTGTTTTTAAAAAACATTACAGATAACTCAGTTAGAACAGGTACGTCCAGGAGAACTGGTGTCCAGCACAGTTCAGCAATCCCCCTACTCAAACATACCCACTAAACCTGCCAAATAAAAGATGATTTAAATAAAGTATGTTAGACAGTGTGCTAGACACTGTCCCTCCAGAACTAAAGCTGAATAACCCCAGAGTTAGAATAATACAGTTAGAAGAACACTGGTTTGGTTCCTTATTTCTCAGTGCACTCGATGTATTGCACAGACTTAATTAATTTAATGAAAGACTGAATAGCCAAATTAGGTAATGTACTTCCTCAAGGAGAGCCTTGCAAATTATTTAAGCCAACACACTGACCGACATAAAATATCATAATATATCATAATAATCATAATATATTCTTTACTTGGATTTATTGTATGGATGCAGCAAAATACATGATTCTGCCTACAAGATATTGTACCAAACTGTATTGCACTGTATTGTATTGTATGGTATCTTATTGTTGCACCGTGACTAGCATGTTACCTCATGGCTGGTTAGCTTGGGGCCAATATATTTGTGACTAGAGCATTAGACTGGGAAACCATAACGCCCAGCTACTGTTTCAAATCTTATACTTCTATAATGTTGAACGATCATCAACAAATTGACCTGAGGCATGTTTACACTCCTTTTTCTTGCTGTGTTTAAAAATTTATTGAATCAAGACAAAACTAAAATCATACAGAACTGAATTCTTAATTTTCTGAATTATAATTTATTCATATGTTGGTAAAATCTTAAATATGAATATGCTTACTGCCGTCACAAACAGCTTATTTTGAAATATTTTCTCAAACTTCTAAGACTTTTGCATAGTACTGTACATTAATTTACTAACACACAAATCCACACGCATGCACATTGGATTGATACCACAGTTTTGCTCTGGATTGATATCTGATATAAATACAATATTAATACTTTAAGTAAATGCTCATATTTTAAATTTTAAACCAATTTGATAGTATTTCATATTAATATTAAACTCAAATACATTGCTCATTAATAAAACATTTAAAATGTAAAAACGCTGACTATCAATTTGTTCAACCATTCTTACACCCCTTTGACTTCAACAATATTCATATGTATGAGAACTTTATATCAGTATAGGTTATCTTAATTAACTATATAAAGTGAACTGTAAGAATTATATAAAATGAATATAAATGGCCTCAACACCCACACAGAGAGAATCACACACATGGACGGTCATGCTTCTGTCATTTCCTCACTAGGACTGTGTTCAAAATATAGACATGGCAACATATCGTTGATACGCTTGTTGCTTGTCTGCACAGCAGTGTATCAATATTTTTTAACTTGCTTTTACACAGTGCATTAATTCATACGTGAAACATTCAAAAGCATTTCGAACATTCAACGATAGTCAAGATTTCTCTCTTTGTTTACTATTATTTGTAGAAAAGCTGCATTGGAGGAGGAGGCATTTCAGTTTCTTCTGCATATTTAGTTGAAATGGACACACATTGACACAGAGTAAAAATCTGAACTGCTAAGGCACATATGAACATTGTTAGTTGTGTACCCAAGTCAGTTTCATGTTCACAGTCATTGTTTGGTACATGGTTATAGTTAGGTATTAGTTTGTACCCAGCTGTGATTAACATTTGACTGAAAGCATTTTGTTACTGTATTTGTAGAGCTGGTTCATGTTGTAACACTGTTAAATACTAAACGAATGACATTACTGTGCGATGTATGTGGTCCATTTTAGTGACTATTAATTGTTCACTCATAGCTTCACAGCTACAAATGCATGTGTGTCCCCTATACCAACTGCTGCTGTCTATGTGATTAAAAGGGCAGAAAGTTCATTGCCACTTTGGCCACTCTGACCAGCACTTCAGGGTGAACCTCATCTATAACATAGTTCTTAGAAGTACCAGCATCATTATTTATTCATCATTCTTTTATCTATTAAACGTAAAAGGTACAGGTAAATAGCAAGATAATTCTCCCCAATCTTATCCATTTATACATTATAACTGTATTAAGGTAAACATAGATCAAACATGTCTTTTTTACATCTGGTGTGTTTCATCATGGTACTGTATTGTATTGTGACACTTGTGATACATATTGTGAAGTTTCACAGCAATTCCCAAAGCTCTCTCTCTCTCTCACCTTTGGAGCATTGGCGGCCACTTTGGCAGCCTCAGAGTAGTTGCCACCAGCAAAGAGGTTGTTGAACTTGCGGGCAAAGAGCTCCTCGGCTCCAGCCAGGTTGTTCCTCACAGCCATACGCAGGGCCAGATCAGGGTTCTGCAGCACGTTTGTGATGTATGGAATGATGTTCTCCTCCTCCACACATACTGACAACACCTAGAGAACAGAAGCACATATCCCCAGATGATAAAAAGACACACAGACACACAAAGCAAGCAAACAATAGCAGCTGTGGGGTGAGAGGCCCTTATTCATCAAAGCTGAGAAAAGAGCATGGATCTGACCGTCTTAAAGGATGTACGAACTACTCTGTATGCCTACGATGTGGAAACAAGTGGAAATTTGACCACAAATGATAAAATAGCTTCATCTGTGCATGAAAGTAAGCAGGATCCTACTTGTACCTCATTTGCATACTATTTACATGATATTCAATTTATGTAGCTGTTTCAGCAGGGAGCCAATAAAATGACAGCATTTAGCAGCTTGTGAGCCAACGGCTGCAGGAGGTTTTTGAGGTTGAGCAGCGAATGCACTGCTCCCCCTAGTGACTAAACATTATAGTTTTAAGATTACAACAACTGTAAAGAATAACACAAAATAAACAAAGCGCTGTAGTTTTTAATGATGGTAGAATTATGTGATAATGCAGTGTGAATACATTCCTAAAATAAAATATTTAAATGCTGTATTATTGCAGTGTATGAGATGGCTCTGGCACTAGCTGTGTTTTGTTTGTTTTGTATTTTTAATTTGTTGAGCAGTGACAATAGCAAAAAATGAAGGCCCGGTGTAATATGTAATAGTTGCAGCATTTCAGCATGTAAAATAAGTACATCCATTTTTGCTTTGGATGGACACGTGCACAAATTATTAGTCTAATTTATTTTTTTATTTTATTGTTATTATTGGTATTGTAAAAGACACTGATAATAGTTTTGGTTAACTAACCACAAATCAAGTCTTTTTCAGACAGTTAAACGCTTATGCAAAAATTTACACAAACTCCTCCTAGATATGTGTATCGTACAGATGCAGCCTAAAATAAAACTGATGAATAATGAAACTGCAGGTGAAATTTGCGTGTGTTAATTTTACAATCAGCTTTGACTGTACACCACTTTGATAAATAAGGGCTACAACTGCTACGCTATGTCCTCTGAGCACCTGTGAAATGCGAAAAAGGCATCAGACTGAAGACACACCTGTTTAGTGATGTGCAAGGCACTCCTGCACACACTCACTGTACGCAGCACAGTGACTCATACACAGCTTCTCAGGAAATACAATAGCTGTGAAATGGAGGTGCCATCAGGTTTTAAAAATTAGAGCATCAAAAGGAAAAAAGGGTTCAAGAACACAAACATGAGCATGCAAATACACGCACAATCATGATGTCCTACTGATTAACCTTACACTGCTCTAAACCAGGGAGTTTATTTATGCAAATGGCTTAGAAAGACACAAACATTACTTAGCAGTCCAGGTATAATACACTTACATAAGGTTGATTACTGCATATACAGCAGTGTGCAAAAGTTATCATTTCATTTATATTATTTCCAGTAAATACAGCAATTAAGTACAAGCTGTTAATTTTTCAATGTCGTAAAAAAAAAACAGAAAACACAACAGAAAATTATATCTAAAAAACTCTATGTAATATGTTGTAAAAATATAACATTAAAGCCAATTCCTTGTTTCTAACCTGACGGTCCATTTTGCCAGCTCCACTTACCATACAGGCACACTTTGTAGTTCTACAGTTATAGAATTTAGTCCATCTGTTTCTCTGCACACTTTGTTAGCTCCCTTTCACCCTGTTCTTTAATGGTCAGGACCCCCATCATTCTCAGCTTTGTGGTCACGTGTGTGTGTATATTGCGCTGATATAAGTGGATGAGACAGAGCAGTGCTGCTGGAGTTCTTACACACTTTAGTGTCACTGCTGGTGTGGTTAATTCAGTTTATTGTGTAATGTGTGCATTAATGAAGAGAACTTTTGTTGGGAAGACACAGCTGTAACTTGTTGGTTTTAAGAGTGATAGAATGGAAAAGTTAAAGTGTTGGTAAGGTGCACAAAAGTTGAAGTTTAAAGCTTTTCTGTAATTTCCTGTTAAATTTGTGTTTTCTACATTTTTCTTATGCTGAAAAACAAATAACTTGCACTCAGTGAGCGTTCTGACTGTAAATTAAATAAACAAAAGGGTGGCTTCCGACATTTGCGCAGTGCTGTATGTGTTCTAAATTTTTCCCTTTAAACAACAATTAACGTTCCACACACCATTAATGAATGACTGCAGTGACTACTACAGTTCACTGATGCATAAAACATGGTCTAGAGAATTGAATGCAGTGCCATCTTTAAGCACTGTGGGAAGGTTAAGTAACAACTATCAAAAAACAAAAAACAATACGTTTTCTATGATTGGTGTTTTTGAGAAACACCACTGAGGTTAACGTGGTGCTGGTATGTAATTATCCGTCATGGGAGATGATCCAGACACTACAGTGAGAGGATGTGGGCATTACCGTTCTCACAACAACTTTCACTTCTATGAATGACAGCCTGCTTCCTTCAACATGACACTTAAGGTCTAATTTTATGACCTGAAATCTCAGTCATCGTTGGCTTGATTTTATAGATTTGGTACAATTAAACATTATTTTAAAAAAAACAGAACACACATGGAATGCATGAGCTAGTGCAGGAACCACTTACACAGTAATGGAAACAATACACCAACTATTTTTACACTTCGAAAACGTTATGTAAGCTATAGAATACCATAATGTGTTACCCATCGTGTTTAAAAGAATGTTGAAAACGTTACAACAGAGGACAGTTTTCAATGCCTTATAAAACAAAGCACTGGCCTTAAAATAGACTGAAAATATCCCCTCTGGGAGTTCTGTTCAGCTTTGTGTGACTGCGTTCAATAGCAGCTCTCACAACCATGTATTCAGAAACAGTATGTTAACTGTGTACCTGTGGCACACAATATATGTACTGCATGTGCTTAAACAAACAGCCCATCTAGATCAGCCTCAGCAGGTCACATTTACAGCTGTTATTCCGCATGAAATAACCCTGCACTTCCAACCCTCCAAAGCCCACCTACCCCCAACAATATGGGTCAGCTCATAGCCAGCGAGTGAAAAGAGAAGTAAAAATAGCACTCTTTGTAATGAACGCCTCTCCAGTACAAAAGGGAAGTGATTGAGAGAGAGAGAGAGAGAGAGAGAGAGAGAGAGAGAGAGAGAGAGAGAGAGAGAGATGACAGTAGTGATGGTGGGAACAGCATGAGAGCAAAAGGGTGAGGAGAGAGAGAAAGCAGGGCAGAGAGAAAGAATGATTTTAAAAAAGACAGTATCTACAGCAGCAGGCGGGGGAGAGATGCAGTGACGTCAATAAAAGCTGCAGGCACAGAGAGAACGATGGGGCAGAGCTGTGAGTCACCCTCAGTAACAACAAGTCCCACAGTGGTTCACTCCATCAGCTCCAACTTTCCCCAACAAGCACAATTAGCAGCAGTTTAATTCATCTTATTATATAACTAGATCAAACTCAATGTAAACAGAGGCTAGGACTTTTGAATATACGTGTAATCAAGTGATCTACTTCAAAGCACCTGTTCTCTCAAGATACATGTGCGCAAGTGTACCCTCAGCCCAGTCACAGTACTCTGAGGTTTCATTCAAAAAGAGCATTGTTATCAAGTCAGTTTGGGTGCACTGAAAAATTCTCTTTTTGGAGCGGGCGATTGAAAGTGACTACTGTGAACACAATCAAAGTGGTGTTAGCAAATTCCCTAGCTCCAGGCACTTTTACAAAGTTTGTGGAAGCAGTGGCGGGGGGTGCGCATGCTCGCCTATCTGGACGACCTTCCTACAATAGAGTGGCCAAAGGGGAAAGCTCAGGAGAACAGAGAAGCAGTGCTCTCACATGCAGTGGTCGGGTTTCATGGTCAATTAAATAAACTGTCTTTTTTGGGGTTGGAAATATGCTCCCTCGCCAACCGAGCCAGTTGTCCGAGTGCAGAGTCGGTGCATTTCACAGCTGCTTTGTGCAGTTTCAATTTGGGCACAGACTGCATTTTCTCCAGTTTCTCTGGCTACTGGGTTAGATGGTGTCAATGACAGTGGCAGTTCCGCATTTTGGCACAGGTTATTATCACTCTGCCTGAATGCCTCGCATCTACAACAAAAAAAATTGTTGTGACAAAGAAATGTATGACAACGTTATCCCCATGGAGGGAGCCCCGCCATCTGCGTCAAGGCTCGGCAAAAGGTTGAGTTCTGTATCGCAAGGTGGTGTCAACGGACACTTCCTTGATGGGCTGGGGGGCATTGCACGCCCACTTCAATAGTGAAGTGGGCGTGGATTCCTGCTCAGTGTTAACTAAAAATTATTTGGAGCTCTTGGCAGTTCATTTGTCCCTACAACACTTCCTCCCAGTCCTCAAAGGACGGCACATCTTAGTCAAGATAGCCAATGAGCCAATTTACTACCTTCTGGTGCCCCCTTTTTAGTTAGGCTGTAACAGCTAGACCTATCAGAGTCACTGCTTGCACTCTTGAAATATGTTGCTTTCAGGCACCCCAAACAGAACTAACAGTGATACTGTTGCTCACCTGCCTTCTGGACAAGTTTGACTACAATGGAGCTTTCTGCTGTCCAATAGTGCACAGAAAGCCTGACCTGCATGCCACTCATTCACCTGATCATACTTGTGCCTGCACAGGCTCAAACTATTTAACACAGAACTTGTTTTACCTGCCTCACAATACACTGGGCTCTTCTCATATTCATACTAACATATCATCATGATAGGCTTCTAACAGCAGTCACTGACAATCGTTTTCATACGTCGATAAGATTTTCATACGTCTATTTCTCACTGTTACTCTGATAGGCCACTAACAGCAGTCATCGGTTATCACTGGTTACTCTAAATACTTCTGTCCAACAAAAGGCTGGTCTCGTTTTTTTCCTGGTCTCTACTTTCAATATTCTATACTAATTGTAAAATCTTATTCTCTGTTTGTATTGCTCTGCTGTTGAGCAGAGGAAGACGGGCTCCCCTTTTGAGCCTAGGTTCATCTCAAGGTTTCTTCTTCTTGCTCTTAGGGAGTTCTAACTTGCCATTAACACC